TTGATTGCGAGACTATCCGCAATTACAAAGTCACCGTCAATAATAACCGACCCAGGCAATATGCAGGCATATTTTTGCAAAAAATTAATTTTTTTTTCATTTTTTCAGAATAATGAACGTTTTTTTATGAAGAATGTAAAAAATTACTTGATTTTCAGCAAAAAAAACGACAAATCTAAACATTCCGAGCAGGGTTTGAAATTATCAGTGTTTCTTTAGGACACTTTGATATAGAAACGTTACAGACAATATTCTTAGTTACTGGCAAAGTTATACAAAGTTATAAATGTCCCTAATTATGCAAATTTTTAACTTTTTTCTAACCAACATTTTCACTTTGAAAAATATTTTTATCAAAAACCAATAATTGCGACTTGTAGAGAATACTTTGCAGTTTTCAAAACCCTGCTTTTCGATAAAAGAAAAATTAATTACTTATTAACACTAATGTTATAGCAAACTAAAAGCTTAATAAATTAATAATGACGAAACGCTAATTTGACATTTCTTAAAAATTTTCGTATTTAACAGACAAATGTTGACAGTAGCCACTAGGTAATAGGCTTTTTTTCGCGAGTGAAGATGTATGTTGTGGTATGTGTGAGTGAAGAGATTTAAACTACCATATGACAATTAAGATCAAAAGAGATGGAAATAGTGACTACAAGTCAGATATTCACCAATATTCAGTCGCGAAAAAAAGCCTAATGTATTAAAGAAATAAAAAATACGCGTTAAGATGTTTTATTTTTTTCCATCAAAACGGCGCCCCATACGAAGAAAAGGTAAGAGAGATTTTTTGTCACAAATTGAACGAGAAATTCAAAAATGATATTTATTTGTAATATCTCAGTGGCGTACCATTTTTTTCTTTTAAATAATTGAGATTATTACCAGTACGCGCGCCAATGATGAACATAAAATTCTTAATTGCGTGTCAAAAAATGCGCAATAACTACCTCTTAAAACCCACCAAATTTCATTTGCACATCTCGACCGACATTTCAGAGCAATAAATTAAATCGTCAGTTTTTAAGAAAAACTTTGACACCCCGTATTTCGGAAAAATCATTTACGGACATGCGTTTATAAGCAAATTGCCATTATTTTCTGATGTAGAATCACCCCCTGAAATTTGTCGCACTTATTTACTAAGACCCTGTATAAGAAGTTTGAAAAGAGTATGTATCAATAAAAGTTTTGCCTACGGGCACTCTAACCAAATTTTAGCTTTAGGAAGTTATGAATTAGCTTTTTCTCATTTATTGACAGCTTTATTTAAAGCATTATTATTTATATGTGCCGAATTTTCATGCAGCTATCTTATCTTTTCGCTCTTTTTATTAGTGCTAAAATCATGGCACGGGCTCTGGAACCACTCAAATTGAAGAGAATTAAATTGTCTAAAAGAACTTTATGGTGAAATTACCAAAAAAAAATTTTTTTAAGTCCATAGTGGGGCGTTCTGCCTATTAATTAGTTATTAAGTTATACATTTATACATATATGTACATATTTACAATTAGCAACACTTTTATTTTAAATATTAAAACTCGCGGCAAAAAGGTGTGAGGTTGGACCGAAGACAATGACCGCGAGTGAAGGATTCATTCGAAAAAGTACACACAAGACGATCGATTCGCCGCTCGCTTACGCTTTTGGTTTTATTTTGTACCTTCTTGGTCATTCTGGTGTCGTTGAATGCTTGCTGCAAATAAATCTTTAATTTTTTCATACAGTCCACAAACGCAACACAGGCCTTTTTAACGAAAAGCAAAAATTTACAATTTTTTTTTTTTCGTTGATTTTCTTATGATTACTCAAAAACTGTTGACGCTAAAATATTTTAAACTCCAGATATGAAAACTAGAAACTTGAAGCTTCAATTTCCTTATTTTTTATTCTCTCTCCGATCATTTCCCTCCAAGTTACAGCTTTTTGAAAATCACTCAAATTTTTGGGACAAGACGTGCTTGTGCGACACAGTAAGATTTAAAAAAACACAAAAATGCAATGAATTTAGTTTTAACGATCATTTAACCAAAATGTTTGATGCCGCTTTTCGCATTCTTGGCCTGCTGAACTAATGGAACACGCTCTATGTTGAATCCCCGCGAATGGACTATAACACGGCAAAGTCATCCCTCATAACGAATCCACGGAATGTTATTAAACACTGCTGGACTCCATTCTAACGTTGTTTAACGATAAATTCGGAATTTCCTCAGCTATCCCCAGCCCACGGAATATGCGACGCCCGCAACACATTCCTGGAACTGGTAGAGTTAATTTTGGAGCGAAAGGGTGAACCGGCTGCGGGTAAAAAAGAGCTGGTGGAAAATAAGCACGGAGCTGTCTTGGCTTTATTTTCCAGTAGATTAATGTTTTGGGTGCAGGGTCGGCTCGAGCTCAAATGTAAGCGCACAAGTCAGTGGTATGGGCAACTTTTTTATTCGATAGTACTGGAGAAATTTAGCCTACAGTTTTTTTTCGGAATCTTTTCCTGGCCAGAAAGTTTAAAAATTTAAGGCATATCAAGTCAGTGGCCTGGAGTACACTATTGCTAAAAATTATTCTGATATAGTTTTATTTGAAATACAGGGTGTCCCATTAATATTGCGAAAAAATTAATTAAAAATACAATAATATTGCATTTGGGTTCTCGTCCGCCCATACATCATTATTATGAAAGTTCATTATGGCTTTTCTAGAAAAATTCGTCTCATCCGTAAATAGTACTTCAGCTAAAAATTGAGGATTTTCCCCAATTGTTTATCGTATCCATCGACACAAATCTATTCTTAACGGAAAATCAGTAGGTAAAAGTGCCTGAACCCGTTGCATGTGATAAGGGTATAGAAGATTATTTTTAAATCCTGAAAATTGTAGAACGACTTGCACATTTCACTATTTATGTAATTCAATTTGACCAGCCGGAATTGACAACTACACAGTTCAAGTACTTATCAAAATCACACACTTAAGCTATTAATTTTTTGCTCGAAAACGAAGCAAGATATCAAAAAAAGTAAAGAGACAAAAAAGTTGTATTTTTTATCGCATAATTAGAAAAACATATGACACCTAAGAAAAAGCAGTGACGTCTGATATGTTTACTTATTAATATCAACAGGAGTGAGTCCCCGGACGCCGCTGGAATAGATAAAATAAATCAAATTACGTCAGAAGACGTCTACTGTTTTTATAAACAAACATACCAAATTTAAAAAAATCGGAATTAGAGTTCTCCAGATATTAGTAAAAACCTCGTATTTTCTCTAAATAGTCAACACCCTGTATCTTCGAAACGAAGCATTTTCAGACATAGATTTATAGGAACTTTCTTTCTTATTTTTGGCGAAGGAAACTCCCCCTGAATTTTTTCACAATATTAATGGGACACCCTGTATAGAAAATGTACCTTTATATTATGCAGGCAAAATTCCCAATACACACCATTAAATTATTCCGCTCTGAATAGCCACGATTTTAAAAACTATCTACCGTCCAGCTGTATCAATAGCCTGCTTTATTTGTAGGCTTGGGAAGTTGAATCGGCTCCTAACTATTCCTCAATATCCCCTTTCTTGTGTTTCAAGCCGTCACTGAATAAAATATAAGCCGGAGCACTATCCGAAAGAATCAGCCAATCAATCAAAATGCTTTTAGCGGATACATTTGACGGGAAGCAGCAAGCAATAAGTATATTATGTGCTACTTGGGTTTTATTTGCGGACCATCCCGATTCCGACATAAAAAAATGCAGAAATAGAATTTATAATTCCGGGGGAACGGAGGGCAGAACCTCTACATGTGTCAAACGACACGAAAAAAATTCAAACAAAAGCGTCATGTATCCCGCGCAAATATACACAGATTTACACTCGCCCTAAAAGGAGCCATGTCGAGGGAGGCCTTGCTCTTGCCATCTTAATTGTATTATGGTGTCATTCATCCCTGTTTTGCTCGCTCTAGGGGTTGTTTTGCTAGCTAAGTACGTCTTGAAAGGGTTTACGGTTTCCCTAATTTGCCATAAGGCGTCTTTCAGTGCTTTTAACTAACTCAAAGTAAGTTTGTTAGGTCGGCAAGGTAACAGGTTGTGACACGTCCCGTTAAATAATTCATTCCCCTGACGAGACCCATAGAGGATTTTCCAGGATTTGGGGAAATTCGATTTAATGTATGTGTGTGTGAAGTCTAAAACCATTAACAGGGCAAAAAACACATACATTAATGCAAATTAATTTCCCTCTACGATAAGGCAAATTTTCTCATTATTTATTCTACCATTTTTTCGCATCAAATTCGTTGTATAAACTTATTGATTTATGTCTGATGGAGTCAAATAATAAAAAATGGATTTTTTCTAAGTCTAAAGGAAGTAAAGCTGAACCCCGAATATGCAAGTGCATATGAGAATTAGTCTAACGTTAAAATACAAACGAATTATGAAAATACACCAAACCCTACTTATCTCAATCAAGAAATCTAGTCCAAAGTATTTTGTCACGACTACAGTGCTGTAAAAACATAATCAGTTGTAAGCAAATTATCATCTCAATTGATTCCACGCCTAGCGTGTCTAGAAAATGCTGTTTTTTACACTTTTTTTTTGCTTTAAAAGTTGTAACGAAAGGGAAACATTTTCAATTTATTCATTGTTTGAATTGTACTGCTGGTGCCACCTGTCGACGGCGTGGATCAATCTGCACGTTCGAGGTTTTACAGGAAACTATATCATATTTTATACCGTTGAAATGTTCTGTCTATTCCAATTTACAGTCAACGTTTAATTTTCATCTGAATTTTGAACACGGATTAAATATTTTTAAGGGTCTTATTTTTTAATAAAGTTTAATCCTTGTCTATGTTTTATATATCAAAAATATTTAATTTTTCTTTTCATAGATTTTTCGCAATGTAGTTATTTGTAATTTCTACAGCGCCCTCTAGGGACTATTGCCAACCTTACAGTTCCAGATAGTTCTAGAAGATTCCAACCTCAAACAAATTTCGCGGAAATTGACAAGCAAAAATCAAACTGTTTGTGACTTTTGAAGTTTCGTGTAACTAAATTTGAAGTGCTACAAAACGTAAGTAAGCCCATTTACTGATAACTTGAAAATTCTTTCTTAATTAATAATAAATAGTAATTTTCCTCACATAATTTTTAGAAAATGCCTGTGATACAAGAAAAACCCGAAAAGAGCATGGCTCTGCTACCTCAAGCAGAGGCAGCGACCGGCAGCCAACTGGGCAACCCGCAAGGCGAAGCGAGGCACCCTAGCACACTGCAAGGACTGCTAAGATTTGCCATGGAAGCGACAAAAGCTGAGGATGCTCCGAATGCTTCAGAATTCCAACCCATGGACGAAGAGGTACGTTTTAAATATGGTCGTTGCAGGTCGCGGCTAATTTTATGATTCTAGAGGAAGAAATTTTTGGAGGATGCTTTAAAATCGTTGACGATGGATGTTGTGGAGTTACTACAGAAGCAGATCAGAATCCTTCAGAAAGTCGAACAAATAAAAGCGGAAGATGACGTTCCAGAATTCGAGGAAGCCATAGAAACTATTTTGGAATATGTAGATCAGATAGACACCGCAAATGGTGAGTAATAATAATTATTAGGGCAGACATAACATATTGACATAAAAATTTTAAGACTTCCACAAGATCGGTGGGTTCACGATACTGTACCCTTGTCTCAAATCTCCACATCCGAGGATCCGGGCGGGTGGTTGTGAACTGTTGGCCGTTCTGTGCCAGAACAATCCGTACTGCCAACAGATCGTTCTCGATAACCAGTTTATACCGAAACTGCTCAACATGATAGAGAACGACGAGGATATACAGGTGGTTGTGAAATCTCTGTATGCGCTCAGCGGTACGTAACAAACGTTTCTCCTCAACAAACCCTAGAAAGCGATCATTGTATGTTTCACAGGTATTATCAGAGACAACCAGGAGGGCTTCAATCAACTGATCCACTACAACGGCTTGATCACCCTCCTCGACACCCTGAAGAGGAACAACGAGAAATTCATCATAAAAGCCACATTCCTCCTGTCCGCCCTCTGCAGGCAACATCCGGACTTAAAAAGTAAATTCACGCATTCGATTATGTTAAAAAAGTGGTGAAGGGCATGGTGTATCAATATCTTGTGTTACGTTTTTAGGTCGTCTGGTCTTTCTCGATTACATTCCATCCCTCATACAGCTCATAACGACCGAGAGGACGCCCACACACGAGCACATACTGTCGCTTCTTGTGGCCTTGGTTGAGGAGAACCCAAGCGCCATAGCGGAGTGCAAGAACCCCAAATACAACCTGAAGGATGTGCTGCAGAAGTACATCACCAATATACGCAACAGGGATGAGTGTCTGGTAAGTGAAACGGCTGGAATTCGACTCGGGTGCAAAAAAAAATTGTTTTATTGCGTGATTTTTTTGTGTTTTGTGTTGAACAAGAATTCTTAAAAAATATTTGGGTATAATTTATTTTGTACTAGCTGACCCGACAGACATTGTCCTGTTCAAATTTCAATAAATTTGTTTGTGATCTTTTCCAATCGTCAGTTATGATCAAGAGTGCATACAAAAATTATGATTTTTACATTTTTTTTCCTAATTTTCTGACTCATTTGTAATAATTGTCCGAATTTATTTTCCTGAAAACTTCTCCAAGGTCATAACAAACAAAATAAAAAAGAATTAAGCATATCCTTCGTTCGAATCCTGAATTATGGTCTTGAGTTCATACAAAAATCCCATAGAAAGAAGCTCTTTCAGTTTTCCCAAATTTTCCAATTTTTCAGGCAACTTTTCCAATTTTTCTTTCCTTAAAACCTTATTCGGACTATTACGAACGTTTAAAAAGACAATTAAGCCAAATCAGTCCAGCCGTTCTCAAGTGATGTGCTTGCCAACGAACAACATTTAATTTTTATTTATACAGGTTGATTCAGAACTTATCCAAAAAAGGATTTTACAGCACCTATTTTATATCAGCAAATTCAACTTCTTTTGAGGTTATTGTTATTATTGTTTAATAAAATTAATTTGTGGTTTTAAATAATAAAATAATTTGACATAGCTAATGTTACAACAATTGTTCAAAACTTTATCCACCGACGTGTAAACACATCTCGTCCCGTCTTACTCGGTTTCTACGAACTATCACAAATGTTGTCTTTCTTCGAAATAACACAAATGCTTCACCATAATACAAAATGTTGTCTTGTTTCACCAGAAATTAAAACGATGTCCACCAACTCCGAGTTGCTATACACGCAAGCCATTTTTGACACTAACCACTAAAAAACTATTGTAAACACTACGGCAACGACGACTGTAAAATCGGATTTTAATATTCATAGTCGCTGAGGCCACGTGGCTCTCCACGCGTATTGCGAATGACGCTAGAGCCAGTCCAGCTATGTAATGGTTGAATGTACTACAACTTCAATAATTTTTTTTTCGGAAACTTAGGATTTTACAATTTTTTTTTTTAAGATATTAACTCCATTTCTCATGCCGCATCTGTTCCCTTATTTTCACGATAAATTGTGAATCACCCTGTATAGATAAGTATTTTCTTAGTAAATATACTTAATTCATTATTATAAATTTGCTCTTTTGGAGAAAAATTAAAATCATATTTTACTCTTCATGCAAGTTCATGTCAATTTCTCATGTGGTAGTTAAATGGTCAAAAACAAAAAATTTAGTCGAATACATTTTTTCTGTTTAAATTATGACAGTTGAGCGACAGTTAAATGTTCAAAAGCAACAAATTTGGGTCTATAATTCATTAACAATGTTTTTTTCTTAGTTAAAATACGATTTTTTATATTTTAAATAAGAATTAAAATTAAATAGGTGTGATTTATTTTGTATGAGCATTTTGTTAGTGTTGGGTATATTTTATGAATTAATTTGCTGTCTTGGTTAAATGGTCAAAAACAAAAAAATTGAGTCGACTAATATATTTTTTTTGGAAATTGTGACAGTTGTTATGCAATCGTTATGCAAACGTTCAAAAACAAAAAAAATGGGTCTTAATTCACTTACAATATTTTTTTTTTCTGTTGATAAAAGTGGCAGTTCTTGAGTGATAATTAAGTTTTGAAAAACAAAACATTTGCCTCTAATTCATTTAAATTTTTTTAATTAAATTTTCAAAAATGAAAAATTACTGAATTCATTTACAATTTTTATTTTTATTATTATTGTTTTTGTTCATGGAAATTATAACAGTTCTTGTACGATAGTTAAATGTTCAGATGTAAGAACAAAAAATTTGGGTCTATAATTCATTAACAATGTTTTTTCATAATTAAAATATATATTTTATGTGCTAATAATTATGATTAGAAAAAAAAATAATAATTTATTTTGTATAAATATTTTCTTAGTGTTAGATTTTTTAAAATAATTTCTGGTTTGGAATGAAAAAAATCAGGGTCTATTTGTCTTGTAATGGTTAAATCGTCAAATACAAAAAAATTGGNCAGAATAAATTGTGAATCACCCTGTATAGATAAGTATTTTCTTAGTAAATATACTTAATTCATTATTATAAATTTGCTCTTTTGGAGAAAAATTAAAATCATATTTTACTCTTCATGCAAGTTCATGTCAATTTCTCATGTGGTAGTTAAATGGTCAAAAACAAAAAATTTAGTCGAATACATTTTTTCTTTTCAAATTGTGACAGTTGAGCGACAGTTAAATGTTCAAAAACAACAAATTTGGGTCTATAATTCATTAACAATGTTTCTTTTCTTAGTTAAAATACAATTTTTTATATTTTAAATAAGAATTAAAAGAAAAATAAGTGTGATTTATTTTGTATGAGCATTTTGTTAGTGTTGGTTATATTTTTACGAATTAATTTGCTGTCTTGGAATAACAATTAAAAAATCGGGTTCTATAATCAAATCACAAGGCTTTTTCTTCGTGCAAGTAACGCAATTTTCGGTGGTAGTTAAATGGTCAAAAACAAAAAAAATGAGTCGACTAATATATTTTTTTTGGAAATTGTGACAGTTGTTATGCAATCGTTATGCAAACGTTCAAAAACAAAAAAATGGTTCTATAATTCATTTACAATATTGTGGCAGTTCTTGAGTGGTAGTTAAGTTTTCAAAAATGAAAAATTACTGATTTTTTACAATTTTTATTTTTATTATTGTTTTTGTTCATGAAAATTATAACAGTTCTTGTACGATAGTTAAATGTTCAAGAACAAAAAATTAGGGTTTATAATTCATTAACAATGTTTTTTCAAAATTAAAATATATTTTTTTATGTGCTAATATGATTAGGAAAAAAAAATAATTTATTTTGTATAAATATTTTCTGTTAGATTTTTTAAAATAATTTCTGGTTTGGAATGAAAAAAATCAGGGACTATTTGTCTTGTAATGGTTAAATCGTCAAATACAAAAAAATTGGTGCTTTTTTTTTTCGAGGAAATTGTAACAGTTTGTAAGCGATAGTTTAATGTTGGGCCCTATAATCCATTCTCAAGGATTTCTTTATTCATCAGAAGGATGAACGTTACAATGTTGCTAAATGCTAACAAAAAAAAATTGGGGTATTTAATCCATTCCCAATTTTCTTTCTGTCTCAAGAGTACGAATGATTCTTATGTGATAATTGTGATAAAGTTGAGGTCTATAATTAAATCCTTCACAATGCTTTTTTAGAAGTAATTAAAATATCAGTTTTTATGTTAAAAAATTATATAATTTTTATGAGCATTTTCTTAGTGTTGGGTATATTTTTTTTATGAATTAATTTACTGTTTTGAAGTGAAAATAAAATCAAGGTCTCTAATCAAATCAAGTTTTCTCCTTCATGAAGGTTATAGCTAAAGCTTTGGGTTTTCATCGGCTAGTCATAGGCATGTTCGTTGTAAACAAATAAATAAATAATCAGGTCAGTATAAATAGAAATAAATAAATTTATGTACTTAATCAGCGAAAGGTCGTTTTTTTAGCCTTTGGCGCGTTTAACATTATTAGAATATTTAAACACGTATACACGAAGCAAACGCGAAGCCAATAACTGCCGTTATTTCTGGTTTTGTATGGTATGCTGTAGCTTTCGCTACAGCATACATACTACATACAGCATACATACTGTAGCTTTCGCTACAGCATACGTCGCGTCAGCCGAAAGGCTGACGCGACGTCTATGATCATCCGACCGAGTCCCGAGCTCTAGTTATAGCAATTGTCAAAAACAAAGCACTAAATTTATAATCTATTCATTTTTTTTCATATAAATTAGTTCTTGTGCAATAATTAAATGTTCAAAAACAAAAAATTAAGATGTATAATTCATTAATGTTTTTTTAGAAGTTAAAATATAATTTTTTGTGTTAAACAAGGTTTAAATAATGCGTATAATTTATTTATTATAAATATTTTCTACGGTTGGGTGAAATCTGTGATTAGAAATTAATTTGCTATTTCGTTGAGAAAAAAATAAAAATAAGTGTCATGGCTAGGATTTTTGGTAGGGGTGGGCTGAAGCTCTATGGAGGCCCCATTGGCCACGCCCATGACAAGTCTGTAATCAACTCACAATTTTTTCCTTTGTGAAAGTTACCATAATTTGGTAGTTATATGGAAATTATGACAGTTCTTGTGCGATAGTTAAATTTGCAAAATAAAAAAAAAATGGCGTCCATAATCGGTTTAGTTTTTTTTTTTTTTTTCAATAAAATTATGATAGTTGTGAGATAGTATGTTCAGAAAATAAAAAATTGGGGTCTATGATCCATTAACAATTTTTTCTTTCCATCAGAAGTAAAAATTTTTTGTTTGCGATAATTAAATGTTACACTAAAATTGGGGTCTATAATCCATTCACAAGGCTTTTCTTTTGAGGAAATTGTGTAATATTACAAAATTTTTCTTTTTGTAAAAATTCTGATAATTCCTTGTGCGATAGTTAAACGTAAAAAGCATAGACGTCTATAATCCACTCTCTTCTTAAAGTATGTTGTGTAAGCTGTGAGAGTTTCTTGTGTAATAGTTTTATATAAAAAAAATGAAGTCTAATCCATTCATACTTTTTATTTTTTTTATGAAAATTTGTTGTGCTATAAACAAAGAGTTAGTCTCCTAATTGCCATTTTTTTTTTTTATTTCAGGAAGAAGAACAGTATTGCAAGAGACTTCTCCACCTGTTATTCACATAAATTTAGTCGATACTAAGAAGTTAGAATAGAAAATATTCAGATTTATTTATTTGTACATTTATTTTTATCTCCCACCTTTTTTTTAGAAAATAAACTTTTTTAATAAATGATGTTTTATTGTTTGAGATTAAAGTCAGGGCCTACTTCATAAAAGAATACAATACTGAATATTATACTGGGTGTTAACAAAAAATCGTTTCTCTCTCCCCCATATCTCTCCCCCTTCTCTCCCCCCACTCTATTGCTTTTTATATACAATACCAAAGACAAAAAAAAAAAATAGGCCTATGTAACAGTTAAATGTTCATACATAAAAAAAATGGAGTCCATAATGAAGTCTCGATTGTTTTTTTAAGAAAATATCAAATGTACTGGATATTGACAAATCTCATTTTTCCTTTTGTATAACAATAAAAAAGAAATTGTTGATTACACATTTTTAATTTTTGACTCGAATATCATCAAATTGTCATGATTCACCACATTTACACCACCATTTTTACATGTTTCGAAACAAAGTGGCTAATTTATTGGCAAATTATAATTAGGTATCAACTTTTACAAGTAATACACGCATATATGACATTACGTCACTCATTCTAGCTGTAACTACCTACTTATTATTTAAAACAAAAACAAGTATAAAAATTGTAGAATGTAACTAAAATTGGTACTAAGTATCGTCAAAAGTCATTAAAAACAACTAGAACTGATCAACAAAATAGAACTATTGTCCTATTTCTCGGCTAATTTAAAGAACTGACGAAAATGACCACAATATATGTATGTATTATTTATGCACTATGCACAACAATTGATTCAATTTCTTGATAAATTTTTTGGAAAAACAATCAACATTTTTTGTTTAATTAAAACGGTTTTTTGTAAGTTGTGATCAATTAAGTCAAAAATTGATAGAATTCATCAAATGTAGGACAGATTTTACTTCACAAAATATTCAAATACCCGTGTATATGTATTGCAATTTTCCATATTTTTCCCGCAAAAAAATAACGGTTTTTATTACAAATCTTACCTGCTATTAAATTAATGATTAAAATAAATTTAAGATATATTAAAACTACAATATTTTTTCCATTACGAACAATAGGTAAGGTAACACGGTCCGTAAAGACGAAGGTAATATATTCTTGGTGAAAAAATCGTGTATGTATAGTGCTCATACACTCTTCTCCATCTTTAATTTATTCTGAAGAAGTAACAAAAAATATTGCTATATGCGTTAATATTGACCACTGAACAACAAATTGTTCCCCGATTTCGATATTTTATTGTTCTGCAAAATCTGGCGGAGAACTTTCAATTTCTAAAACGAATTGTCATTTGAGGTATTGAGGTTGAAAATGTCTAGGCAATCGATCCCACTGCAAGGTCGAGGGCTGTGCAAGAGGAGCATAATAATAATTTTTCTGACGCACACCCCAAATTTATGTAAATTCACAGTTACCGCCCTTAGAACATTTGTTTACAGTACAGTCAGGTCCAAAACCAGACCGACAGATCTCCGTCTCTGCTTCCACGTCGTTTACGCGGACCTTTTTTCCTATTTGATGTTATTTATTTCGTCCTGTAACAGGCGCCCGAAAGGAAAGCCGCCCTGGCTGTACGGAGACCGGAGTTTTTTTCTCTATTTTCTCGATTTGTGACAGACACTTCTGACGAAGAGTGTACCAAGCCGGCAAATTGCAAATGGCGACATGGCAATCTATATATAAATATTATATTTAGACTCGTTACCAATTTTTAGTTTACCGAAAAATTAGTGTTTGGAAGTGTTTTGTGCAATTGTTAAGCGTTTTACAAAAAATCGGTAAGTCCCCTTGGCGTTCCTGTTAGAAAGACCGCCTAGACGGCAGTTGTTTACGTTTAAAATTTTCTAGTACACCCCCTGAGAGCACAGAGTAAATATTGTATACGGACGGGATTAGCTGCGACCTACGTACCAGTTCTTACATGCTTCTAATGTGCGTTCTTAGGCCGACTTTTACCGCAAACTTAAGTCTGAGATAAGTTCTGCCAAGCAATATAATTATTTAAGTGATACATTTTGCATTAAAAGTTTTTATCGATCTTTCGAGTATTTTTTCTTGTGTTGGTGGTGTCTAAGTGAGTCTGGTTGAAGATTAAGGTATTTACAACGCCCTTGTGCATTTGTTTTCCTCCTGCTAGTCAAAATATTGCCATAAATATTGTTTTTAATGTATATTTTTTCGTACCATTATTTAAGGGTTAACCAATATGGCGAGGCTTGCTTTTTATATAATGTTTATTTTAATAATCCATATTTTCTAGTCTCTCAATGCTTGGATTATCTTTTTACATAAAGTATTGCTTTTAAACAAAATTCCTATGGAAAATAAATTTGTTAAAACCGATCCGGGTAGGCTAATTATATCAATTGTTATTTTTATGTTGCTGCGCTTTTCTAGTAAGCCGTGGAAGTAATTTCTTTAAAACAGCGTATTTTTAAAGATTTTCCCCCTGGGTTAGGTTATGTTTTGAGTGTCTTTTTTTCTTTCTACCGGCTATGTTTTGACGAATTTTTCTGCACGGTGTGTGCGTCAAGACGGCGGTCTTGCGTGAGAGACGGAGACGGAGAACACCCCATGCCAAGAAAATGCTCCTTTTGTTCATATTTTCATTAAATTATTCTCAATAAAAAAAAACCTCCCCGACTCAGAAAAAGTCTAAAAGTCTCTAATATTTAATTTACCGTCGGGTTTGTTAAATGTTCAGTCTGTGCGGTTTTTGTTAATTTCCTTTTTGCGTTGTTTTTTTATCGATTTTAACAATGTAAATGTATTTAAGTTTGTTTAACGGTGAGGTGTCGCGTTCTTGGCCGAGTGTAGGTTCTCACTTACGTATGTGTATGTTTATTTTTAAAATATTTTACCGTCTGTACTTAATATATTTTTGCTCCCATTTTTTATAAATAAATACTTTTGGCCGATAAAAAAATTTATATTCTGCCTACGTGCGTTCAACGCGTGAGTCAAATTTACATAATTTCCGATTATTTACGTATTGTGTTTTCCCAGTTTTAGAAAATCTATAATTTTTTAACTAACAGTAATGGTTGTTAATGAGTCATGTTAATATGTAGGTGAGAAATGTTATTTCTGCTCAGTTTATATGAACTTGAAACCAGAACAATTTTGTTAAGTCACATGTTTATTAAAATCATATAGACGTAAATTTCAAGGAAAAATAAAGTTACAAAAAATTCAAGTACCTATGTAATTAATTTTAAATGTTTTTCAAGATCCTGGCTTGAACTCGCGCGTAAAAAAATGTTTATAATAGGTAAAAAAGGCTTATCTCCGAAAATTATGTTATCTTTTCTTGTGAACAATATCATAATATATCAAATGGTAAATATGACCTCATCTGATGGAATTTCTGAAAAATGTTAGAATTTAGTTGTCAGCTTAACACCTTTAAAGAAATGAAAAAACAAAATCACTAATTCAATTTGAAATATCTGTTTCACACATGTTTTGGGTATATTATATTAAATTAATATTCAGTTTTTTTACATGCGTTGAAATAAGATTTGGTCCAATTCCTTTCCAGATTTTGGAAGTATATACACCATATAACAATTTATTTTTGTAAACCCCATACACACAACCGTACCTCCATGATAGTATACTGAGTCAGTGAACGGCAACGAGATGGTTACCCCGCCCCAGCAATTCTGCGTTCGTTGGAACAGCTACCAGTCCAACCTGCAGAACGCCTTCCCCAAACTACTCACATCCGAGCACTTCGTAGACGTGACGCTGGCCTGCGAAAATGAGATGCTCAAGTGCCACAAGGTCGTGCTGTCGGCCTGCTCGACTTACTTCGAGAAACTCTTGTTGGACAACCCCTGCCAGCACCCCATCATCTTCATGAAGGACATGAAGTGAGTATTCGGACTATCGACGACTCAACACACTGAAACGTTTGTACGTTCCAGATTCAGTGAGATGCAGTCCTTGGTGGACTTCATGTACAAGGGTGAGGTGAACGTAACTCAGGACGACCTACCTTCGCTGCTGAAATCGGCGGAGGCGTTGCAGATACGCGGGCTCTGCGGTTCCGACCAGCTGCTGAACCCCACATACTTCGGTAATATCAGGAACATGCAACAACACGTGCAACACCCCTTTCACAACCCTGCTGTGAGTATATTATCTATTCAGTATGTGTTTTACCATAAAGGTGATAATTGACCAGAATTAAGAAAAAAACGTTCATATGAACTTAGTTCTGCAAACATGTTTTTAAGGTACAGGGTGGTATTTTTTTTGTTTCAAACTTGGGACATTGAATCATAGGCGACGAAATTCTAAATTACTGAGGGTGCTCAAATTGCAAATAATTGGCACTTTTACTTATTAAAAGTGTAATTTTTGTATCGAATTTCGAACTTTACAAAAAAAGTTTTTATATTTTTCAAAAATTGTTTTCCAAAAAATAATTAAACATTAAATTTAACTATAATGTATAGAGTCACTCTACTTGTAACAGTAATAACACAAGTTGCGGTAATGGCTGTAATGGGATAATATTACCTGTTTCCCAGAATACTAATCTTGAAATTATTATTTTTTAATCAAATAATTAAGTCCAAATTCGTTTGTATATACATGCTTATCAGTGTTGCCTATTGTTATCTTCTTAAACCAACTGCAGTGGAGACGCGATTATCCGGACCTCAGTTATACGGATTCGCGATTATCCGGACTACCCACCTTCGAGCAAATATCTTTGTTAAATCTGTGTGTGCACGGATAAGTCGCGCATGCGGAAGGTTCGAAAAACAGAGTATGATCTCTGAGTTTACTACAATTAAAATGAATTCATGATGTAACAGCAATGAAGAGAAAAAATTGTTTACGTCAAATGACAATTATCAAATATTTTAAACAAAATTAAACTATAGTAACTGCCCTATATTTGACCTTTATTAGTTGTCAACTAACTAACTAACTAACTTTCATGATTAAGATTGCAATACATTATTTTAGTAATTTTAAGAAAATATGTATGTACATAAGAAAATTTATCTCTAATCTCAATAAATATTGATTTTTGTTCATTTCAATAAGTGTAAGTAATTTTTGTTGTTTTGAATAATAAACACCTAACATTATGAACATATTAATAGATTATTATTACAAAAATCGATTCTCTTCATTCTCATTCTTCTCTTATTGCATTCATTATATTATTCTCTTATAACCCTGCTCTTATTCTTCTCTTATTACATTCATTACACTACATTACATATTACATTATTCTTCTCTTATTACAAAAAACGATTCTCTTCATACATTCAATGACTTTGCGAACACGCCATTTTATAATCATTTTATTAAATAATTTCAAGTTTTCAATAAAATGTGTTAATACTATTTCTTTTAAAGCACTGTGTTTAGTTTGTGAATTTCAATGTCGATGATCTCTGAACTTGACCAAGTTTAGATGAATTAAATATATCAATCCATCTGTTATAACAGGTTGCTACGCAACCAAAAAACAAATGTCTAACGTTAATTCAGCGAAATGAGAATAGCAAATATGTCATTTTATTACATTTAATTTTTATTTTATCGGTTTAAGAGGTGTTTGTAATATGACATATAACGTATTTTGTATAGTCCAAGTTATTTATTTCAGTTTTTAATGACAATGTATTTGTATGTCTTCGTTTTTAAATTTCTATGTGATGTTATGAAAAATTATGATTTAAATAAATCAAGAAGGATAAGGTAAGCAGGGTAAGATAATTATGAAAAAAAGTTAAAAAATTTTCACGTTATTTGAAAAAGAAACCTTATCATATATTTCTAAAGACCAAAGGTAGGCTCCTTATAAATATTATCCCCGCTCGATGTTATTTTTTTAAAATGGTATTTTGCCATAATTTTTTTTTCAATCAAAATTGTGTTTTTTTACGGTTTTTCAAAAAGTTTAATTTAATATAAAATCGCATTAAAATTTTTTTTACAGAAAGGTCCTCTTGTTTCTAGTAGTTAATAAGTGAGAAAAAAACTTAAATAATTGATTACATTTTATTTAAATTTTGGTAAAATATTACTATTTTTTAATTTGTTTAAAAATTATTTAGGGTAATTAAAGATGAATTAAGATCATATTTTATTCCATACAACTATACTTATGAATTTAATTTGCACATTGAAATTATAGTTCCTTTAACTGTTTAAAATTATGGTTGTCATCTTGGAAGAGGACTTTTTAATAATTTTTAATATTATGCCATTTGATTTATGAAAAATTGTTAATAAAAAAGTTATGATCAATTCTGTTATCAGTTTCCAGTTAAAGCGTGTCAGTGCCTGTCATAAGCGTACAAGAAAAATCGAGCAGACTACGTGACGATAACTATTTTCTATTGCAATTTTCATATAAGTAGATATGCTCTATCAGCACTAGAAACCACGTCATAAATAACGATTGCTATATCACCCTGTACCTCAAAAGCAAAACATTTTGGTCAGATTAGAGGATCATCTGTGCAAAGAGCAACCGAAATTTTCGCCCCTTTGTGAGACCTCATAAATTTACTCCAAATGTGTGCCAAAAGATAGTCTATGATCAGACTTGAATCGTCTATAAGTTTTAGCTTGAGGCTGCATTTTGTTTTCAAGTTACGGTTGATTAAAGTTGTCATTTTTACATGGATTGTTATAGGGTTTTCAAAGTCGCTGATTTAAAATCAAAGGTTCGTTAATCTCTATGACTTCAGATTCTGGGAAAGGTCTTCAGAAATCTTGACGAAATCATTGATTTAAAATCAAAGGTTCGTTAATCTCTATGACTACAGGTCATTTGGAAGTCAAAGAATTAATCTTGGATTGTTAGTTTATTATGTTATATGAGCAAGATATATCGCCAATTTGAAGGAAGTATGTAAGTCTCTAATTTCAATTCAGTAGTTGGTTGACCTGTATCACGTCAGATTCAAGCTCAATTGAGGGATTAATAACGAAACCATGAAAAAAAAATGTGTATTAATCACAAATTCGTAACCTATCTTCGAAATTCTTCATTTTTCTGAAGCTTTTCAGTCATTTCATGAAGACCGAAGGGTGGTGAAGCAATTCTAATAGCAAATTCGTGCTCAACGCGAAAAAGTACTTCGGAATACATATGCCACATGTGAAGTACATCGATTTTTTTTAGCGGTGTAACCTCGATCCAACAATCCATGTAAAAATGACAACTTTAATCAACCGAAACTCGAAAACGAAATGTAGCCTCAAGCTAAAATTTATAGACAATTCGAGTCCCATCATAGACTATCTTTTGGCACACATTTGGAGTAAAGTTACGAGGTCTCACAAAGGGGCGAAAAATTAGGCTTTTTTTCGGTCGCTCTTTGTTGGTGGAATATTGCCACACGCTATATCGTCGAAATCAAATCCAAATTCTTTCCAGCCAAAAATGAGTTCACACATTGTCAAAACCGAAAATATACCTCAACCCAGCCAAGTCCCCATGAACAAAGAAGGCGAGCCGGTGGTGAAGAAAGAAGGTGCCGAAGGCTCAGACAGCGGAAATAACCCTTCGTCTTCAGAATGCGACTCCAACGACGGCATGTTGCAAATAAAAGGTGAGCTTAAGCGCATCCTAAATCGATATTTCTATCCTTAAAATTTTTAGAGGATATAGAAGAGGAACCGGACGATTCCTTCTTCGACGGGGACAGCGAGTTGATGGACCAGGAACTGACGGAGGAAGACGGGACTGTTAACACTGATGTCAAACCACAGTTTTCTGCGATCGCCAATGTATCTTGCCAGTACGACGGAGCACCAGGTAAGCAAGTAGAAAGTTTGTACATTGTACATAAATGTTTACAAGCCAGGGGACCACCGAGTTTAGGCAGCCCAACATGGCAGGATTGGTACTGGTAACGAAAATTCCCTAAATCTTGGCATCACCAATATTAATAATTTGTTTACAATGAACAATGATGAACCGTTACGTTTATGCTCGAGATAATGCGATCGGCGATTGGTTGAATAGTATGTCGTGAAAAATTACACCAATCACAGCCGGTGAAATAGAGTGTGTTTTAATGTAATTTTAATCTTATTGTTTTAATGTTTTTTAATTTTACCGAAATTTAATTGCCAACAGGAAAGAATTAAAACTACAGTTTCAAATAAAATTACTTGTCACATGACTTGTAAACATTTATGAAGGCTCTGTATATGTCACCTAAAACTGAACCTATTTTTTTGACTTGATTTACCTATTTTCACTCTTAAATGTTATTTGATACATACATTCTGTCGAAAAAGTCTCCGGAATCCCAGATGTCAAAGCACTTTTTAAACACATATTCCTGTATGAACTTCAACTCCTTCAGCGATTTCTGTAAAACGGCTTTTATGGAATCAAAACGTGTTTCACAAAGTGGTAATTTGAGTTTGGGAAAGAGGAAAGTCAGCAGGGGCCATATCTGGTGAATACGGTGGCTGCTCGATGACATTCTTTGAAATTTTGGATAAAAATTCATTCACAATTATCGCTTTATGTGATGGTGCATTATTGTGGTGCAAAATCCAAGAATTGTCCTTCCATAAATCTGGATTTGCGGAGGATATTCTCCTCAAACACCTCATATTGCCCACATAAAATTCTTTGTTGACTGTTTCCCATCCCAAATGAATTCTGTGTGGACAATACCACGATAGTCAAAGAAAACAATCAACATGACCTTGATTTTTGATCGACTTTAACAAGGTTTTTTTAGTTTCGGCTCATTAGAAAAAGGCCATTCCGAAGCTTGTTAGCATGTCAAACTCATAAACCTATGTCTCGTCACCCTTTATGATGTGTTGCATGAGTGGAGACCGAATTAGCTCATTTAAGCATGTCTTCAGTGACATGTTTGCGATGTTTTTTATGAAGAAAATTCATCAACTAAAATGGTGCTAATCGTTTCGTGAGATATGTTTAGTTCACATGCCAGCTCTCTCAAACTATAATGAAGGTTTGCAAGTGGCATTTCCTTCATTTTATCGATGTTTTCTTCAGTTGAAGACATTGAGGGACAACCAGAACGTGGAAAATCGTAGACTATGTTTGAATTCTGTTCAATAGTAAAAATCACGGAACACACCTCAGCTAGACTAACAAATTTAACAGCTGTAGTACTACCAACTTTCCATTAAAACATAAACTTATGGGGTTACACCACTGTAACGGCCTAAAAAAGCGTGTTTTTGACAATTTTTTTTTTTATAGAAGGAGAGGTAATAGAAAAAACTGTTTAGGTATGTTATTAGGCGTGTATTAAGTGTACAAAAATTTTTTTTCTTTAAAAAATATTTCAAAATGGCGGCACTGGAGCCATTTCCCTGAAGCATGTTGCCGTCGAGGCATCCCGCGGCACGCACTAGAACTAGTGCAAATTTCAATGTGGAACAAAACAAAAATTGCCCTTAATCTACATAAGTATAGCTAGAGAAACACGTATGGGATTGTAAAAATATTGTTTTTTTGTAAAATTGGCTCGTTTGAAGTAAAACGTTACATTTTTGACGAAAAAAAGGCAGTTATTTGTTTATAACAACTGTTTAAATTGACTTATCGAAAAATCCGTACGTGTTTCTCTTCAAAATGTTAAATATGTGGTTAAAATTTCAAAAGAAAATATTGAAAATTGTTGGTGTTATGGTGCATGCCGTTTTGAAAAAATGTGTTTCGAGAAAACGCATTTAAAGTTTTAAAATGAGTTTTAGACATGAACGTGTTTGAAAATTTTGCTTGAGAGAAGTTATAAATCAATAGGTAAGAAGGTAAGCGGTTCCTTCCGAGCGAGTATGTTCATAGCGCAAAATAAAAAAAAAACAAAATTTCATGTAACAAGCGTTCAAATAAAAACGTGGTCAAGTTGGTTCTGAAAATTTGGACGTAGGGCGTAGCGTATAGCAAATGAACTTAAACGTCATCTGTCAAAGCGCTATATCGCCGCTATCAATTTGAATATTTTCGTTTTAAAAAGCGTTTAAAATGGTGTTTTCTCAAGAACAAAAAGTGTTTATCATAGAGTCCTACTTTAGAAATGGACGCAAGATTGATGGAATATGGAAGTATTCTATTGAGGAATGTTTCATAGAATTTCAAAATCAATTTCCCGGCGTTGTTGAGTACAAAATTTTTCAAAGTGCAGTTCAGCGTTGTGTTAATGTTTTTCGTGAAACGGGCAGTGTAACAAGAAAAGAAGGAAGCGGCCGACCTAAAAAGCGGACTGAAGAATTAAAAGAAAATGTCCAACAAATAATGGAAAATGCGCCAAGAACTTCTGTACGTGTTTTATCACAAATGGTGGGAGTATCAGTCGGTACCTGCCACACAGTGTTAAAAAAAGATTTGCGTTTGTTCTCCTATCGTTTAACTTGTCAGCAAGAACTTCATGAAGTTGATTTTCCGCGACGGGCTGTATTTTGTGAATGGTTTTTAAACAACTACGGTGAACTTCATAATATCACCTTTTTTTCTGATGAAGCCTGGTTTCATTTAAGTGGTTACGTAAACTCACAGAATATGAGAATGTGGTCTTCTGAAAAACCAGATAACTTTTTTGTCGAGGGCCCTCTACACGCTCAAAAAATTGGAGTTTGGTGTGCTCTCAATCGAAGGAGGATTTATGGACCTATTTTTTTTAATGGTACTCTTACTGCGCAAAGGTATAGAGAAGAAATTATCGCTCCTTTTGTTAACCAGCTGGAAGAAAACGAAATTACAAACTTTTACTTTCAACAAGATGGCGCAAGGGCACATACGGCAGGCGAGACGATGAATATGTTGAGGGAAGTTTTCCAAAATCGACTAATAAGTCTCAATGCTGAACATGAATTTCCACCGAGGTCATGTGATATTACGCCGTGTGATTTCTTTTTGTGGCCTTACCTTAAAAACACTATTTTTGAACTGCCTATTCCTGATTTAAACCATCTGCAGGCTCGACTTATAGACAAGATTCGTGAAATTAACAATACCCCGAGCATCTTAGAAAATGTCTTTAATTCTTTGAGGAACAGGTGTGAAAAGTGCTTGGAACAAGGAGGGGGACACTTTCAGCAGCTGCTTTAATTTATTGTTATAACAAGGAGGGGGACACTTTCCGCAGCTCCTTTAATTGTTTGTTATTGTTATCACGATTATTCTTTAAAATAAAGTTATATAGTCATTAACGTTATTGAAACTGACAGCTGCTATACAGCTCGTTGAGAAATGAGGTTAAGTTGGTCGCTATAAGCTATTCCCTACGTCCAATGTGTCAGAGCCAACTTCGACCACGTTTTTATTTGAACGCTCGTTATAAAACCTTTTGCCTCATATTCTAGAAGGTTCTAACTACCTTCTAAGGAAAAAAAAAACGATTTTTTGAAAATTCTACAGTGGTGTAACCCCTTGGATCTACTTTAGACAGAATTTTTAAATGACAAATTCCGGATACTTTTTTAAGAGAATGTATACTAGCTTGATAGGGTTGATCACAATTTATTGTTAAGGAGGTTCGATAGATCTCTTCCGGGGCAGGCGGTATGGGAGGGAACCTATCCTATGCTTATGCACAACACATATTAGCTCGCATATATTTTTTGTGTTCAATGCACGGCAATTAAATTTTTATTTGAATAAAAGTGTCTATTTATTCATTAAGAGCTTGTAAAACTATGGGTAAAATCTGGCAACATTGCACATCAGTATGGTGTGGTGGTAAAAGTTTGGTGAACATCCAAGATACAAAGGAAAAGTAATGACTGAAAAGCAATATAAAAGGGGTATGAAACGGGTAGAATGTGGATTGATAAGAAAAAAGTAAAATGTGCAAACCGAGAATCCATGTGATAACTATCAAGAAGCTCAGTCTAGGTAGTGAGACATCGCTTTGTCGAATTGAATGTTATGACAGAAGATCTATACTATTCGTTTTGCAAAGAGATCCTTTCAATTTTTGTTTCAAATTACTATTATATTGCATTAGATCACGAAAAATTTATTTAATATTAATTATTACTCCATAAATTTTCGACTTGAATAATTTTATACTCTATAATCGAGTTATTCAAATATAGCGTGTCGGTCGAAGTGTTAAATACAGCTACACCGTTGCCATATTTCTTTTCATTGGATCAGATGAAAATGTTTAGTAATATTTAATTCTTTAATTGCAATTTTATTTTCCCAATCCTAACCATTTTTAAGGGCAATATTCACGTTTGATGGAAGTTTTTCCCAACTCCCGTAAGATCCTGTGTATAAGAGCATAATTTTTAATATCATTTTTCAAAAAAACTACATTGGCAATCGATCTGGTATTTTTACACAGCAGTTTGCATATTTGTTAACAGATTTCAATTACTTCGAAAACTTTCCTACCATTTTTTTTCGGTATCGAACCTCGTTAAGTATACTGCGTTCATGGGGGTGAATAGTAATGTCTTAAACTGGAATTATAGTTTAGTGTACAATTTGTTAAAATTATTAATAACTTTGTGTTCAATGCATTAAGTATTTCCTTTGGGATTCCACAGGGTTCTCACTGTGGACCAGTTCTATTTAACATATTTAATAATGATATTTTAAAACCCAGTTTTAAACAGAAATATATTTTATTTGCTGATGATCCTAATTAAATTCAGTACTTTGTAGTTGCGACTGTAATTTGTTACTGATTGATATTGACAGTTCTTTTATTTAGTTTGTCCATCACTTCTTCGTGATTACAAAATCAATGATGTTAAACATGTTAATGAAATAAAGGGTTTTGGTGAAGTAATGGCAATAAATTGACATTTATTTATTTAATTTTTTCTATAAACATTTCACAAAAGTTACTATTTTTATTGCAATATTCTACTCATACTACTTGTAGCCATCATAAGCAGAACTGGTCAGTAACACAAAACCAAAAACTTAACACAATTTCAGCCAATTTGAAGGAGTCCACATTTTCATAAAGGCCATGCGGAGTCCTTTGTTGATTTTTAAGAATTTAAGGAAACTAAAATTGCTAATTAATCAAGGATTGCAAAATTAGTTTTTTTTAAATTAAAGTTTTTTTTGTTGTTATTCTTTTTACTATTGAATTTTAACAAATAGGTTTTAACATTTAAAACATAAATAATTTTTGTATTTTTAATTTTCTTTAAATTTATAAAATTGTTTTCAATTTCATTGCTTGATATTTTACGGCAATTAAAATTTGTTACTAAATTATAATGAAAATGAAACTATGGCGACATATTTTTTATGTTAATATTTTTTAATTCACTTCTCCCATTTAAGTGAACTTTATAGTCTTTCTGAAGTCAGTTGAACATGTAAAAAAACGCCTAGCAATAAAATTTAATGAGTTTCATAGGCGTCCCTAAAAAAGTTTTCTGATAAAGGTAAAAAAATTATAATAATTTTTATATAATGTGCAGAAAATTTCTATTATATGTTCATTTGGCCAACAATATATTTTAATTATTTATGTCCTCAAACAATTTTATTATACTGATAGTGAATTTCGTTTTGTTCCGTTTCAAAAGGCCTCCAAAATGCCATGTTGTAACAATATTATTTCTCCCTTAGGTAATTGTAATATCAATGATTAATAGAAGGTGCCTATAATAAATTAAAATTACCTGAATCACACCAAATTCCTCATTGCTGCACTGCACTGCTGGGCAATTTGTCGACCACTTGTCAACGGCTGAAATTTTTTGCCCAGTGGCCCAATGCAGCTGTATTTGTATTTCGTTTGCCCACGCTCGCATTCTTCAACTGGGCGTATATATTTCTACCACCTCCACGTTTAGTTCGACCAGACCTGTATATGGGTATGGCTAAATATGGGAACAAGTTTTTCAAATAGTTGCTGCGTCAGCGACCGAACCTGGTACATACTGTCATCCTCTTGGTTCTTCAATTGATATCGGAAAGACTATACCTTCGTTTTTCTTTAAAACTGTTGATCCTATCGATTTCATGAGAAAATCGTTATATGAACTACCCCCAGTTTTTTTATTTTTTTGACATAACTGGGACACCCTGTATTTGGTACATGTGAATCAATAAAATACGGAAAAGTCAAAGATAATTACTAAAAACCCTCTTCAAAGTAACAACTTTAAGTTTTAACACTTCTATATCGCAACGTTATTGAGAAAAACAGGAAATACCCTTACTAGTTTTCCAAACTATAAACTTAACACTGCATATATTTTTTTAATTGTCCAGTACCATTATTTTTCAACTTAATTATATAACAAATTTCCATTAATTATTATTATTATTTTATTATCAGGGTCAGCCAACCGTCGCATCCGGCGATCGGACGAGGAGCTCCGCAGGGCGGCGGAGTGCATAACCCGCGGACAGACTTTCCAGACGGTCAGCGACCAATTCAACATCCCCATATCCACCATCCGGTTCTACATGGCGCGAAAGGGCATCCTGCCGCGACGTAAGCGCGGCAGGGCGTGCGCCGGTCCCCTGGGCGTGGGCATGGGCATGCCCATCAGTACGTCGTACAACTCCCCGGCGAGTCCCATAGGTCCCCCGTACCATATCGTGCACTACAAGTTACCGGCGTTGGGAGTCTCGAAACTTAAATAGGTCTTTCTGGGCAGCGCGTGCTCTGATATGTTGAGATAATTCTGAGTTTTCTCATGTCTCGTGTCTGGTCGACCTTCTGTAGGCCCATTTTATTATTAGCGTTATTTGATGTAGCGGACGGAGTTCCGGATCGAGGGGGTGCTCCAAGGAGTCGTGGATTTTATCAAACTTATTGGTTTAATCAGAGTTTGGGCTTTCATGTAAAATGTTAGAGGAAGGTGTTTGGTCATGTATCGTAAAGTTGTTGATTTTTTGTTTTTCTCGATGGCTGTATTACTTTTGTCCTTGGAGCGCCTCTGATTCTTACGGTTCGTTCCGTACCTTCATAACTGACTGTATTGAGGCCATATTTATGTGAAATTCACTCTTATTTATTTATAATTTTTACAATTTTTTTTTTAATTTTGAGGATCTCGTCGTGACTTTATTTTTCGTCACTTTTTGACGGTACTTAGGAAATAAGTATTTTTTTGCTGCCAAATAAGATTTTTTTATTTATTTAACTTAATCTTTAGTTTTCCCATGATTTTTACGTTGATTTCGCGTTCGTTTCGATCAAGTAAAAATATGTCTTCTCTAAGAATAATGTAAACTTAAGGAAAATTGTGGTAGAATGAGAACTTGTAGGATGTGAATTCTAGTAAATATATGGATATCGGAAACTACGGTATAGGAAAGTTATTGTACAAATTCTGTCTGACTTTGATATTATACCTACGAAAAATCTCAATTTGAAACCTGTACTAGTCTTGTAACGGATGATTATTTTTCGTATGTAAGTTTTTAGTATTTTTTTGCATTTTACACAAACTAGTTGTAGTTTTGCTGCCATTCTTTATGGATATCCCTATTAGTATAGTTTGTTAACACAAAACTGGGATCTGCAACTTTAACAAAATGTCCATTCATTTACTCAACAACATTTTCGTTTGGATTGAATCTAAATGGACTGCGCGTGTATTTAAAAATTTTCGCTCCCAGTTTGTCACTAAAATTAAGTTGTCAAGCTCAATGAAAACTAACCTCTTATTTATACGAATATCGTGATATCTTGCTCTCTATTTTAACACATTACGGTTCATTTTTTTCTTTACCCTCACATCGTTGGTCGTCGGACCTTAGTTGTAATCAAAAAAATAAAATAAAATACGAAAGTAACTAGGCTTCCATTTTTACACTCAGAGTAGTTATACGTACTAATTGAACCAGTGAATAAAGAAACAGTCGCCTTAGAGTATATTTTACGATGCCAAGTACTTATTCGTTATCTGCAGGTACAAAACGGTTTTATTTTTCGTTCGGGATAAGGGTAATCAAATTATTTGTTTCGTCTTTCATAGTTAAGAGAGTTACTGTGAGATTAAGGTAAAATTTATTTTATTTATCGCCTAATTTACATGTAACATAACCTTCTACGTGGCTCGTCAAAAAATTCACGAAATACCTGTACTCGAATAAGGAAAGTAGTTTCTAAAAGCTGTTAAAGTGAATGAATGAATGTAGGTGTTAAATAATTTTTTTTTTCACGGTTTAATGGTATACTATGTCGTTTTTGACGAGTCCCGTGTAAAACAATCGACTGACTGGAGTGGCAGCATCAACCTTTGAAGCAATATGACCGACAATGCGCTTAATTTTTTTTTTTTAGTGTAAAGTCTACTTAAAGGTTCTTTTCTTAATTTTTAATGCAATTTTGCCAGTGATACAAATAGAGAGGGATTATTTTTAGATCCATACAATATATACTTTTTCATAGAACCGCACTCACCTCATAGAAAAAAAAACAGATTAGGTTAGGGTTTAGACCCAGAACTACTTTCATCGTCAAAAAAGAAATAGTAATATGATATTTTCGTAAATGTTAGACAATTTGTTGTTAGAAGTGAATTATATTAGATGTACATTTTTTTTATAATAATAAACTTAGACTGAATATTGTGAACATGAGTATAAAACCCTCTTTTATATATAAAGCATTTTTTAGTTTTATCCAAAATAATAGAAACAAAATATTCATTCAGAGATGGATAGAAACTACCGTATTTCTTTTTTTATAAGTAATTTTTGATGCAGAAAAAATTTTTTATTTGTCGATGAAAGGGATCTAGGTTAAATCAGGATATTCTATTTCTGGAAACCGTGAAAGGACTGATTATCAGTTTGAGAAGAAAAAAAAAGCAGAAACAGAGACACCACGTAGGTGCCACAACTCTAATCTTTGTAAAAAAAATGAACAATCGTATTCTATACAAAGAGGTTACGGAAAAATGTTACATAACCTAACATTTTTATATATTTTCTGTAATCTCGATATTATACATAAGACTTAGAAGATAAGATATAGATTAGAAGTTTTTGTCTGATTTACTGTGTTACTTATACAAGAAATGTATCGTTTTGTACGTTTAAAAGGCTTCTTCTGAGAAAACGTCTTTTAAATGGATTAATTTTAAGTTTCGTAGTTCTTTCGTGTACGACAATGTTAGATTAGGTTTATTGAAATTTTGTTTTTCTTTTTTTTGTATGATATTTTAATACCTGTGTGTAATTTTTTGAGTATTATCTACTTTATAGTATTTTTTCGCAGCTGTTTTTAGTTCATTTAGCTCATACCCCCCTCCCCCCTGTAAAGTATATTATGTGTAAAAGTGCCATCTATAATATATTTTTCTAGTTAAATAGAACGCTTATGTCTTTGTGACTTAGACACTGTATACAGTATTCAGTCGTAAATATACAAGTATTATATACAAAGCTTTATTTTATTTTCTTCCTAAACACGAAAACAATTTTATAAAGTAGGTCATTGTATAAAAAAGTGGAATATATTTCTTGTTGCTTCATTCGGTAGTTCAATATTTTATCAGATAAAATTTTCAACATTTAAATACATGATAGACAAAATGCAATAGCGTGTTTTATAAAATTCAAAAGAAAAACTAGATTTACTTCCTCGAATTAGATCAGTTGGCTTGGCGCATGACGTCATGTAGAGAGTGATTTAAGTAGTTCATTAATAAAAGCTTATCGTTACGTATTCAATAAATAAATAATGATTTTAATATCAAAATAATTAAATACTCTTCGGTATTATCTACATTATTCAGTAATTTTTGTATAGCTCTTTCACAATGTTATGCATGGAAAATTCAATTCTGATTTTTATTTAAATTATTTGGAATATGGAGAACATGTCGTTAAAAGAATTGCCTTGGTTGTTTCTTGTACAACCAAATATAAAGAACGCATTTCAAGAAGTCATTGTCATACTAATTAATGATGTCAATAATCACTACAGGAATCAAGAATTTTTCATAGATCAAACTCACATAATGTAAATAGCAAATTTGCACCACGTTTGAAGGTAAAAGACACGGAAACCAAACTATAATGATAGGTTAACAAAATTAGTAATATTAACGGCACTGCTTGTTTGTAACATACAAATATCAGCAACTCGCTATTTAATCTCCACGTGACGTCACAACATGGCCGCAAGTATGCTAATATGTTGTTCAATGTTCAATATCGTATCCCTAGTCAGTCATCTTCATCTATCTAAATATCATAGTCTTTGTATTAGGCAATGGATGAACCTAACCTATCTTTTTATATTACCATTTTCAGTTTTCACGTGTACATACGAAGGAAGTAAATAATAGTTGGGCGCTGCTGTAAAAATATGGGTAATAAACAAAAACATCTAAAGAGGAAAATTAGTGATTCAAATGAACAACAGGAAGAAGTAGATACAGAATCGAACGAAGAGGTAAGTCTTATTCAAGTACATATAGAACACAGTCCAAAAATATTGTTTTTAGGACGATTTCTTGAACACAGTGAACGGAGAGGACGGTGATAGTTCAGACTCTGACCGAGAAATTGAAGATTCCGGAGATGAGGATAACCAACTTGCTGAAGAAGAATCTGAAGCGGGTTCTGACGATTTATCGGACGAAGATATCGAAGAAGAATCCGAAAATGAAGACAGTGAAGACGAGGAAGTTGAAGACAGTGGAGAAGAGGAAGAAGCTGGGAGTAGCAGTGAAAATGAAGAAACAGAAGGACAAGCCGAGGAAGATGACCAGTTGGATACTGACAAACCGGAAAATAAGCAAGCTAATGGAAATCCTATTGTAAATAGGAAAAAAGGGAAGAAACATATAGAAGTTAAAGGTATAATGCATCCAATCTGTGTTGAAAAGTATTAAGTATTTCTTTAACTTTTAGAGACTAGAACTGAAAACAAGCGAGATGAATATGCTGATCACGACACCTCCGATGAAGAAGATATAAGGAACACTGTTGGAAATATTCCAATGAATTGGTATGATGAATACAAGCATCAAGGTAAAATTTACATTTTTAATTTCAGAAATAAGTTCAGTGCTCATTCATTTCAGGTTACGATTGGGATGGAAATCAGATATTAAAACCAGAAACGGGTGATCAATTGGACAACTTCCTTAAGAAAATGGAGGATCCTGATTTCTGGAGGACTGTAAAGGACCCACAAACAGGACAAGACGTAGTATTAAGTGATGAAGATATTCAGTTAATTAGAAGAATCAAAGCCCAGAAAATACCAGACGTTTCATTTGACGAATACGCTGTAAGTAATTAAAATACATCAAATGTTTTTAATATGTATTTCATGAAATTATACTGTTGCAGCCTTGGATTGAATGGTTTACGAGTGAAGTAGAAAAAATGCCCCTCCGAAAATTCCCCGAACACAAACGTTCCTTCCTGCCGAGCAAACATGAAGCTAGGAAAGTGTCCAAACTCGTACATGCCTTGAAAATGGGCTGGATCAAGACACGAGCGGAGCAGGAGAAGTTGCGTGCCAAGAAGGAGCCCCAATTCTACATGCTTTGGCAGACCGACGACCAAGCGGAAGAAATGAGGCGGATACACAAGCATATCCCTGCCCCAAAGAGGCTCCTACCAGGTACTAACTACTTTGCTGTTTACTTCGATGTATTGAACTTCCTTCTTAGGTCACGCGGAAAGTTACAACCCTCCCCCTGAATACCTCTTCGATGCCAAGGAACTCAAGGAGTGGAACAAGCAGAAGAACTCCCCATGGAAGAGGAAGCTGCATTTCGTACCGCAGAAGTTCGATTCTTTACGCAAAGTTCCTGCCTACCCCAGATTCATCAAAGAACGTTTCTTGAGGTGCCTCGACTTGTACTTGTGCCCGAGAGCCATAAAAATGAAACTGAATATAGACCCGGAATCGCTGGTACCCAAGCTGCCTAGTCCGAAGGACTTGCAGCCGTTCCCGACTGTGCTAGCCATCGAGTACACAGGTAAAACGGTAAAATTAACACGAGAAGATATTTCAGTTCATTCCTACTCGGTACAGGTCATACGGATATGGTCAGGAGTATAAGTACGGATAAATCGGGACAGTACCTGCTCAGTGGGTCCGACGATGGTACTATCAAAATATGGGAAGTCAATACAGGCAGATGCCTCAAAACGATCAAGACGGACAACGTTGTTAGGTCGGTCGAGTGGTGTCCGAACGCAGCTTTGTCGCTCGTCCTGGTTGCAACCGGTCAGGAGGTTTTGCTTATAAATCCGAACGTTGGTAAGTTAAAAAATGTTTATACAAAGTGTTTGCATGATAGATTAAAATACACAGAAATGTTTCATACATCATAGGTCTTAAACTTCGAGAAAAAAACTGTTTATATGTAACTTTGCGAAACTTAAAGTTTACAAAATAAAAGAAGAGACAATAATAACTAACACTGTTAGCTTAGTGTGATAAAATACTTATAACGTCAATTCAATTATAACAATTTGTCAACAATTCTGTCATAATTTTAAATTGTGATTCGTTTTCTGTTGTTTTTATTGTTCCTCTAACTGTGCTCTCTTTGTTGATGGTCAGTAGTGAGGCGATGTCATTAATTTTCATTTGTGTGTCGAGTTTGTTACAGTATTGGTATTGACTAATTCTTTACTGAATATTTTGTTTTCATTATGTTTCTCATATATGAATATCAAAACATTTTATTGCAAATGGGGATCAAAATGCAATTCTTACAAATCACGACATGTTTATGGTAACTGGTATCCAGATAGAGATTTACTACATGCTAGATCATCTGTTACGGTGTTCCAGTGTGATTTAGAAACTGGTAGTGTTATTCCTCGCCCTGATCGAGGACCACAACACAGATTCCTGTGCAGACAAGAGAGTAGAAACCAGATCGTTGACAAGAGTACATAAAATGCTTAAAGAACATTTATGATTGTATCCTTATATCCAACTAGAACAGAGTTGATGATGGCAGATTTTCCCCGCAGACAGAATTTCTGTAGTAGGTTTTTACAAGCAAATCACAATCATTTTATTCACAAAATTCTAGTTACAGATGGGATCTTATATAAACAAAATTTTTTGTTTTCATAATCGCTGGGATGACGATAATTCACAAAAGATTATGCAGACTAACTTTCAACATAAAAGTTTTTATTATTATGTAAAGAAATAGCATATCTACTAGTTCACTATTCTCATAGATATAGCCGTTTTAAATTGTCAAACCATAATTTTAGAGCGTAAATTATGTGACCCATTAACATGGTGAGTTAATAATTAACCGGCAGATCAAAAAAATACGTCAGTATACAAAAAAATTATGAATTTGGGAATATCCAAAAAATTATATGAAAAAGTGCTTATATTAATGAGTGGAATACACGAATTATATAATTGAATATTGGATATAAGGCACTTATACACCTCTATATACAGGGTATTCCTAAATAAGTGTCGCAACGAAAACTGTAAATTCCTCTTGAAACAAGAAACATTCTTTTTCCCTTCCATTTTTCTCTCCAGCCATTCGTTTTTGAGATACACGGTGTCAAAACTTTAATTTTTTTTTAGTTTTCTGCCAATATCTTAGGAGCCGTTTGAACTACAGGACTGAGCTTTTGTAAACACATTACCACTATTAATAGTTACTTTTTCGCACTCTTCTCGAATTCATTGGACGTGCCAGTGGTGGAGATTTTAAGGTTTTATTTTACACAAAAAGAGTTCTCTTGGTGCATTGCTATAAAGTCAACCGTTTTTAAGAAAAATTATTTTTTATGACATTTTGCTAACGTTTCGAAAATCTTTTGTAATTCAAAAAATGGGTAGTAATACTTAACAATTTTAACGAAATTTAACACGAGATAGGATTTTAACTTTGAAAAACTTAAAAATAATTTTTTATCGCTTTAGCGACTAAATTTTACAAAAACTGTTCAAAATTGCGTCTGTTAGCTTAAATGCACGCATTACATCGTCGGATCATGTTTCTATGAACGTTGTTCATAATTTGATGGGTATTTCTAATTTGTTCCACTGTGGCTTCAACCGTAGCGGTCGATTCTTTGACCGTATTGACAGGAGTTTCATAAACAATGCTCTTCATGTGACCCCATAAGAAATAATCAAGTGGGAATAAATCCGGCGACTGGGCGGGCTACAGCACCGGACCACCTCTTCCAATCCGTCGTTCTCTGAATGTTCTGTTGAGGTACTCTCTTACAACTGCAAAATGCAAATCCATTTTTACCGCACTCTTAACAATTTTAAACAATTAAAAATTAACACTCGGCAGCATGACATTTAATTAACTTGACACTCTTGACAGTTCTAAGGTAAGTTGTTTTCAATGGTAACTTAGTTTTTTCCTTTAACGTATGTGGTGTCAACATGACAAGACACCCTCACATTTTGCAAGTGCAAGTACCGCAACAGAACATCCGGAGAACGACAAATCAAACCGCTGGATGGGGACATCTGAAATGCATCGTTTATGAAATTCATGTCAATACTATCGAAGAGTTGACCGATAGGGGTGAAGCCACAGTGGTAGAAAAAAACCTGATTCGAAGATGTAATGTGTGCATTGAAGTCTGCGAACGGTTTTAGTAAATTTTACTTGCCAAATTGATAAAAAAAAGTTAAAATCCTATCTGTTGTTATATTTCGTTAAAATTGTTAATTATTACTACCTATTTTTTGAATTACAAAAGATTTTCGAAATGTTAGCATAGTTTTTGTTCATAAAGTCATTTTTCTTGAAAACGGTTGACTTTAGAGCAATGAACCAAGAGAACTCTTTTTGTGTAAAATTCATTGGCACAAAATTTGCTATCAAATGTCAATTTTTCCATTACCGTAAAAGTTAAGGGGGAAAAACCCTTACGATACCTTAAAATCTCCACCACTGACATGTCCAATGAATTCGAGAAGGGTGGGAAAAACTAGCTATTAATAGTGGTAATGTGTGTACAAAAGCTCAGTCCTGTAGTTCAAACGGCTCCTAAGATATTGGCTAAAAACTAAAAAAAAATAAAGTTTTGACACCGTGTATCTCGAAAACGAATGGCTGGAGAGAAAAATGGAAAAGGAAAAGAATGTTTCTTGGTTCAAGAGGATTTTACAGTTTTCGTTGCGACACTTATTTAGGAATACCCTGTACATAGAGGCATATAAGTGCCTTATATCCAATATTCAATTATATAATTTGTGTATTCCACTCATTAATAAAAAAAAAATTAAAAGATTTGACACCATGTATCTCGAAAACGAAAGCCCGGAAAGAAAAATGGAAGAGGAAAATAATGTTTCTTTTTTCAAGAGGAATTTACAGTTTTCCGTCGTGACACTTATTTAGGAACACCCTGTATATTTTATTCTTAATTTATTTTGTACTTAGGTGACTTCCTCGTCAACAGCAAGACAGATACCGTTCTGAAAGAAGTCCCCAAATCAGACATCGTCATAAACGAACGGGTCCGCACGACGGTCCAATGGTCAGAACCAGACGATGCCCAGTACGAACGAGGGATTCGAATAATGCTAAAACACTTCAAAGAAGTGACTCAGGTTACTTGGCACGGACGCGGTGATTACTTCGCCTCTGTCATGCCAGAAGGACAGAATCGTTCGGTTCTTATATCCCAGATTTCGAAACGTCGCTCTCAATTACCCTTTACTAAGGCTAAGGGGCTAGTTCAGTGCGTTTTGTTCCACCCAACAAAGCCGTTTTTGTTCGTCGCCACCCAGAGACACGTTAGAATCTACGATCTGGTTAAGCAGACCCTAATGAAAAAACTTCTGACTAATTCTAAGTGGATTTCAACGATGGCGATACATCCCGGCGGCGATAATTTACTTGTCGGAACGTACGATCGGAAGATGCTGTGGTTCGACTTGGACTTAAGCACAAAGCCTTATCAAACTTTGAGATTGCATGGTACCGCCGTTAGAGACGTAGCGTACCACAAGCGGTATCCCCTGTTTGCGTCGGGGTCTGATGATAGAAGTCTCATAATTTCTCACGGAATGGTATATAAGTGAGTATTGTTGAACTTATAACGAATGTTATACTAATTGAAATTATCGTTTTTTTTTGTAGTGATTTGCTGCAGAATCCTCTGATCGTTCCCCTGAAACGACTTCAGGATCACAAAGCATTCAATGATTTTGGTATATTTGGAGTGCATTTCCACCCTCTGCAACCATGGGTGTTTACTTCGGGTGCAGACGGTACTATTAAATTATATTCTAATTGATGTTGTTTATTTTTTACAATAAATTACTTAAAATGAATTCGTTTTTGTATTATCTGGAAGAAGTATTTTTAACAGTTCTAATACATTGATATCAAACCACTAAGATACTTGGCGAAAGTTTAATACGCGATTTTTTTACTTAAAAAAAAATATATACCTTTGAAAACAGTTTGTATGTCTCTAAATGGAAAATATTAAGCCGCAACACTAATTTTGTTAACAATTTAGGATAAAACTCGCAAAAGTATAAAATATTTAGTTTAACCTTTAAATTGAATTGATCCACTGATCCACGGAATTAGCTCTCGCAATAGGATATGTCATTAATTTATATCGATTTCCATTGAGAAAACTGGTGCACACTGAGTGCACCATTGACGTTCCATTGGTCAAGTCGGTGCAAATTTTCAAATTCCATTGGAAAACTAGAGCAACAGTTCTTGCTCTGAGTGTATATTATTTCGCACGAGGTCTTGAAGCTGGTGCCGGTGTCAGTGCAAGAAAAAATGACAGTAAATATGGACAAAGTTGTTGCCCCATTATTATCGTTTTTATCAAGTAGTAGTAATGATGATGATAAAATGTATGTTATACCAGTTATACGCAAACAACTGCCAAAACTAGAAGGATTAATTGAAAATGTCATCTACAAACTTAAATAAGTGATCCGTTTCGTCTACAGGAATACACAAAGTAACTTCCTTGTCGTTTATTTTAAATTTCAAATTTAATTTTTGATTCATTGTAACTGCCCTCTTTGAAAAACTTCAACTGTTACTTTGACTTAATAAAAATCAAAACATAAACATAACCTATAATGTCAGAAACCCACGCAAAAATTGTCATTCCATTGAGATTGCACCAGAGCATATTTCAATACAACCAGTGGAGTGTCAGTGCTGCCCGAATGCAACCCCAGTTTTCCCCAATGGAAATCGCTATTAATTTAAGTTTGCAGGGATGTGATGTAACATTATAGAAAAAAATAAATAAGACCCTAACTACGAAAACAGATGCCGATTAGACTGATTTTAATATGTTAAAATTGAATCAGAGCAAATTTCTCAATACAATAGACAAACTCTGCTTTTTAGATGTAGGAAATATAATTTCCCATAAGTTTGTAATTTAAAATCCAATTTAAAACGATAAATTTAGCAAAGTCTATCCTATATGGGAAAAAAAACTTGACTTAAAAGCAGACGATAACGGTAATGGTAATTAAAATTGCCAAAACATAGAAGTAAGGTTAAGGGTTAAGAAAACAGGTACTTCGGTTTTCGCGCCTTGACAATATTGTCATTTAAAATTGGCGGTTTAAACGCCACACCCACCTTTCCTGATTGGAGCGCACGTAGCGTCTTTTAATGTATTTTATGGTAACACTTCTGGTTTCTGGTGAAAGATAAAGATGAAAGTAACTAACTAGGAATTTGAACAATCTTGCTCGTCAACGTCAACCACATCTGTCTACCTGGGTGAAGGCCAAAAAAAATAAGAAGAAGAAGAACGTCAACCACATAACCTAACTTTGTTACCAAAACAATCCATGTGTTAGCAACTTTCAAAGATTTTATAAACACACAGGATAAAATGGGCAAACTAAACGTATCCATAATGAGATACCTAACTCCGGAGGACTTCAGGGTGCTCACAGCTATCGAAATGGGTATGAAAAATCACGAATTGGTCCCCGCACCTATGGCAGCTTCTATAGCAAATTTACAGCACGGTGGGGTCCACAAACTGTTACGGGAACTGTGTAAACACAGACTTCTAAGCTACGAGAGGGGTAAGAAGTACGACGGATATCGCTTGACTAATGCCGGATACGATTACTTAGCTTTACATTCACTTACAAAACGCGAGGCTGTAGCCTCTTTTGGAAACCAAATTGGTGTTGGGAAAGAGAGCAACATATACATCGTTGCGAATCTTCAAGGTGAAGAGCTCTGCTTAAAGCTCCATAGACTTGGTAGGGTTTGTTTTCGTAAAGTAACGGAGAAGAGGGACTACCATAAGCATCGTAAGTCCGCGTCTTGGTTATACTTATCCAGGATATCTGCCACAAAGGAATTCGCGTATATGACTGCACTACACGACAGAAAATTTCCTGTACCCAAGCCGATAGATTTCAACAGACACTGTGTCGTTATGGAATTAATACAAGGCAAACTATTAAACCATGTGATGGAAGTAGAAAATGTCGATGCCCTCTATGATGAACTAATGAATTTAATAGTAAGATTTGCTGATTCAGGGGTAATTCATGGAGACTTTAACGAGTTCAATATTATATTAACCGAAGGAGAAAAGCCCGTTATAATAGATTTTCCGCAAATGATTTCGACGGAACATGCCAACGCTGAATTTTTCTTTAATAGAGATGTGAACTGCGTACGGGAATTTTTCAAAAAACGTTTCAGCTATAAAAGTGAGTTATACCCCAAATTTTCGGATATAGAAAGAAGCGATAACTTGGATGCTGAAGTTTTATGCTCTGGATTCACAAAGGAAATGTCTAAACACATCAATAAGGAATTGGGCATCGACGACAGTGAAAATAATGAAGATACAGATGAAGAAAGTGTGGATGATTTGTGTCACGAAGAAGCGGAAGAGGATGAAAAAGAAGAATTTTTTGATGCGTGTGAGACACTTGATGATAAGAAGACGAATACTGAGAAAAATTCAGAAACAAACTGTTCAAATACTGATACAAATTACTCGACAATTGATTTTATTGTGGAGCAAATGAAGAACAACAGATTACCACAAGACGATGAAAAAAGTAAACCGTTCAACTTTGTTTTTGTAATAATATTTTGAATTTTATCCCATTTTAGGTGATCATTCTGATCTTCAGTCTTCCGACAATTCCTATGACAATTTTGAGGCCGGAAGCGTGAGATCGTCAGCCACCACCATACATCCAGACGAAATAAAAAGGAGATTGAAGAAACAGATTGCTGCAAGGGAAAGACGGAATCAGAGGAAAAAATGTGTTGCGAAAGGAGAGGCTAGTGCTGTTACGAGGACCAGACGGGAAAATATAAACACGATAAAGCAGAACAAAGGAATTTGGGCTTATGATGGATAACTGTTTTTTATATTCTATATTCTTAATTTATGTTAATAAAAATATATATGTAAAAGGTATTTTACTCACAACGGACTTAAAAATAATTTTACATTTTCAATTTAAATTGTAAACATTTTCAAAAATGATTTTATTGGTATGTGAATTCCTTTGAAGATTACAACTTAAAATAAAAGCAGTTGATTGGTTGAATTAGAAAATATATTGCTTGTTTTTAAATTTAACCAATCATCTGCTCCAATTTCAGTTTGTAACATAGATTGGTTTATAATCTGATTATCAACGAAAGAACTAGCTGCTAATTTAGATCAACATCGAAATACTTTATTTTATTCCCTTCATTTCATATGCTTCTTGACAAACAGAAATGTAAGTGGGACAATTTCTCTACATTTAGGGAAATTTCTTGTTAGGCTATTGTCTTTCTGAAAGACTATTGCCACACCCGACCTAGACCAATCGTGTCATTTTATTTTATACCAAATAAATAACATGGCTGTTTGATGTTTACGTTGTGGAGCTCTACAGTTCGCTTACAAAAAACTTATCTATTATTTTCCTTATCAGAGAGCTTTATATTATTATCAGTGCCAATTAGAGATTAGATAACTATGTCTAGCGAATCTGTAAAAAACGTAAGTACCTAAATTTCTTTATATTCCGGTTATCACTGATAAGACTTCAATTTGCAGTAGTGAGCATCTTTGTAATAAACATAGCCAGTATTGTTTATAAACACAACTTATAACAGTTCAAGGATATACACCTATAGTTTATTTTAACAAGTTTTATAAAAACCTAGGATATATCCCTTGCCATGCAAAAAGTAACATGTGCCACTAGAACAATGAAAACATACTTATTTTAACCGTTCTTTTCAGTTCTCCAGCTTGGAAACGCCTGGATATGTAGGATTTGCTAACCTCCCCAACCAGGTCCACCGCAAATCCGTCAAGAAGGGCTTTGAATTTACCCTCATGGTCGTCGGTGAAAGTGGACTCGGCAAATCTACCTTAGTTAATGCACTTTTCTTAACTGATCTCTACCCTGAAAGGCTAGTGCCCGATGCCGTGGGTAAGATACTTACACAGGAAATACTGACGGATATTTTAATGATTTTTTTGTGCAGAAAAACTGAAACAGACTGTGAAGTTGGAACCATCCACTGTAGAAATAGAGGAGAGAGGTGTTAAATTACGCTTAACTGTTGTTGATACACCGGGATACGGCGACGCGATTGACAACACCGATTCCTTCTCTGAAATAATCCGGTACATTGACGAGCAATTCGAGAGGTTCTTAAGAGACGAGTCTGGCCTTAACAGGAAGAACATCATGGACAACCGCATACATTGCTGTTTTTATTTCATTTCGCCATTTGGCCACGGGTAAGTAATGTTTCAGTATTTATATATTGTTTAATCAATGGTAAGTGGTGTTTTGCAATTTTTTGTTGTTGATTTTGACTTTTAAATATGAATGGTTAAATATGAATGGTTACATATTTCATTAAAGGCAGGAAATGCATATAATTGCTCTTCTAGATAAACAATCATTGAATATAAACAGAATATAGTTTAAACCCTATTTCTATTCTTTCAAAGTTCAATGAACATCTGCTAACCAGCCATTTTTAGAAACATATGTTTTGGAAAATTAAAATTTATACGATACAAGCTTAAGTACCACCAGTTGTGTACTGTTTATGTTTCTACATAAATATTTTTTTAATTGAAGAATGCTTTGTTCCCATTGTTATATTTGTCAATATAATTAATGATTATTTACACAGCTATTAAGGTCATCGAAAGATAATCATTAGCATTCATAAATTGTTTACTGATACAGTTTATTTTGGATCTTACTTGAGGCACAAATTTGGTATCAGAGAAAGTAGAGTCGTAAATTTATCAACTTTTACCTTTGAGTTATGTCCATATACTGTTTTTTCCAATGTAATAAATTATATTTGAAAGGTATCGTAAATCCTCAGGTATCAGTTGTAGCAGATCATGTTTCACTGGGTAATTTTATAAATATACAGGGTGTTTCATAATATATGCGCAGGACTTCAGGATGTGATAGCTCGTCCAACAATTTGAAAAAAATTTTGTATTAACTTACCCTCTAAAATGCACAATTTTCGAGATACAGGGTGTTGAAATTGTAAAAAAAATTTCGTTTTTTGCGAATATCTCCGGAACTGTTTATCGTACAGAAAACAGCTTTTGTAAGCATTTACTACTCATAATAAGCTATGTTCTGTGCAAGAAAAAAATTTTTTCATAGTCATAATTGGTGAAGATTTTGAAGGGGAAGTGGGTGTTTTTCTCCCCAACTTCTACACCACTGGAAACAGTACGGTTTTGAGATGCCCATTTGAACCGCCAATGTTTTCTACACAAAAACGGTACTCTTGGTCATAAGCTCTAAAGTTGACCGTTTTCGAGAAAAATCTACTTTTATGTTGAAAAACATGGTCAATTTTTTGAAATAAAATTTTTATTTTACTAAATGTATTATAATTTTTTTATCAAGTAGGCGTTAAATTTTAAAACAAAAGCTACCTCCTGTCAAAATAACAATTAGTTTGTACCTGCGAAAAGTCAATTTGTATTACAAAAGTAAAAATGAATTACACAAACGCTGAAATGTGCGAAATGCATTACCTTTACGGAATGGCGAACGGTAATTCGGCAGAAGCAAGGCGGTTGTATCAAGAAAGACATCGTGATCGCCAAGTACCGCATCACAACTTGTTTCAACTCATTCACCAACGACTATGGGAAAATGTCATGTCTCAGTTTGGAGCCGAAGTTATGTTTACCGATGAAGCATCTTTCTCGAGAGATGGTATTTTCAATTTTCACAATAACCACATACGGGCTGAAGAAAATCCACATGAAATTGCAGAAGGCAATCATCAGCAACAATTTTCCGTGAATGTTTGGGCTGGCATCGTCGGTGATCATTTGATAGGCCCACATTTTTTACCGAACAGATTAAACGGTGCAGATTATCGACAATTTCTAGAACAAGTACTGCCGGAACTGCTGGAAGATGTACCGCTTCAAGTAAGACAAAACATGTACTTTATGCATGATGGAGCTCCGGCCCACTTTAGTTTGGTTGCTCGCCAATACTTGGATGACGAATACCAAGACCGTTGGATCGGTCGAGGAGGTGCCCACCCTTGGCTCCCGCGATCTCCCGAACTTAATTGTTTAGATTTTTTCTTTTAGGGCCATCTCAAAACCCTAGTCTACGCTACTCCAGTTGAAAATGTTGATCAATTAAGAGAAGGCATTGTTGCATCTTGCGACATAATTCGGAACACTCCGGAAATTTTCTTGCGTGTTAGACAGTCAATGCGTCGAAGAATTGCTGCGTGCATTGAAGCTAACGGAGGACATTTCCAACATTTAATTTAACTGCGTACGATTTATTTTTTTTAAATTTTGCAACTATGAAGTTAACGTTTGGTTTTGTTACTTGTTCTAACGATTAAATAAATTTTGTTTAATTAGTAAAAAAATTTTATTTAAAAAAATTGACCATGTTTTTCAACATAAAAGTAGATTTTTCTCGAAAACGGTCAACTTTAGAGCTTATGACCAAGAGTACTTTTTTTGTATAGAAAACATTGGGGGTTCAAATGGGCGTTCAAAACCGTACTTTTTCCAGTGGCGTAGAAGTTGGGGAGAAAAACACCCACTTCCACTTCAAAATCTTCACCAATTATGATTTTGAAAAAAATTTTTTCTCGCACAGAACATAGCTTATTATGAGTAGTAAATGCTTACAAAAGCTGTTTTCTGTACGATAAGCGGTTCCGGAGATATTCACAACATTTTTTTTACAATTTCAACACGAAATCTCGAAAATTGTGCATTTTAGAGGGTAAGTAATACAAACTTTTTTTCAAATTTTTGGACGAGCTATCACATCCTGAAGTCCTGCGCATATATTATGAAACACCCTGTATAGTTACCTAACAAACCAATTTTCTTAAAAAAGTTTATTCGCTATTTAATAAAATGATATAATTTGATATTTAACATGTAGTACACTGAAGTTTGGTTATTACATCTTTTTTAAAGACCAAATGTATGTTGCTACGTACTTTTCCCATAAGTTTAATTTCTTATACAAAGTATAGATTTCAATCCCCTTTACGCAATGCGCCGACCTAAATTTTCCATATTTGTAACACTTTCAACGTCTTGCTTAGACAATCTAGTACAGCAGTTCAGTGTGCGTTTCCATGAAAACTTTCAAAAACTCGCTGCACGCAAAACGTTATAAATTCGTGGTAGATACACATATAACATATACTGATAAAATTTTGTTTGGTAACTTGGAAAACTTCCCACTGTGTAGTTCTTGTGATTGCACATAGATAGCGCCACGCACTTAGCCACGATAACATCAGTCGTAAAACTTAATAGCCAGACTGTGTATAATTTAAGAAAAACTGTTTTATTTCTCTACTTGGAAGGAAATAGTATAGTCAATGGTTTGGGAAATGTTATTGCGATTTCAAAGCAATGCTTACAAAAACAATTTAATGTTATATTTCAGAGATACAAATGAAACGTGTGTTTTTTTAAACGTTCGAAATGTCTCTTTCTAATTGTTTTAATGTGACAGTGGCAGAAATTTCTACAGTTATATCCATCTTGAAACTGTCGCTTTAGAAATCCTCTCCATAATCCTCCCAGAGAGCTGCTGTCTAACTTTAACCAAAACAGAATCTATCGGAGACAAAATTTTTCCTTCAACTTCTGATTCCACAACTTTTTTAAAAGAAATATAATCGAAAGATTCAAATATATGAATATTTGATTTTCTCAATATATTTCACATTTTTTTATCTGCCTGCCCCTTGAAAAATAAATTTAATTTCGTTAATAAAATGAAATAATAAAATATTTTTTTCTAATAAGCCTTATACCTTACAAATTTCCCTGGCCAGCAATTCCTGCATTCAAAAAAGTTCCAACAGTTCCAGTTATAAATAAATAAATAGTAAGGAATTTTTATTTATTTTCTACTCAAAAAGTATTAAAAAATGCAGAAAAAAACTTTATTTTTAATTACTCAATTTAAAAGTTAATATCAAACTTAAAAAATAAATAAAAAGGTAGTGGCATTCTCATATTTTTCTTTAAATTAATTACATTTAATCTGATTACATCAAATATCAAATTAAGCCCTTCCCTTATTACTAAAAACGTGCTAAGTTTTATCAAAATCGGCCAAGTAGTTTTTGAGATATTTGAAAAAAAAAAACATTTTTTTTATTAATTGTGACACCCTGTATTTGGAAAATGAAGTTCATATGAACTTTTCTGTTTATTTTTGCGTTTGAGTTCTATCGCCTATTAAATTTTCCTGATTAAAACCCAAAACACCCTGTATAATAATAATAATAATAATAATAATAATAATAGTAATAATAATACAAACTTCCACAAGTTATTTCATCCTCCGAGATAACTCGTAAAGAAATATTTTGTACTTCTTTTTTGGGTAAAGATTATAAAATTATGTTATGTGTTAAATACGCAAATCTTTTGAAAAAAAAGTATTTTTCCTTGCCTGTTGTACATTTCTAAGATTTTTTTTTCAGTTTGAAGCCACTAGACATAGAATTCATGAAGCAGCTCCACAACAAGGTAAACATCGTTCCTGTGATTGCCAAGGCAGACGTCCTTACAAAGAAAGAAATGCTGAAACTGAAGAAAAAAGTCCTCGACGAGATCGCTGAACAAGGCATCCGGATCTACTCCTTGCCCGAGTGTGACTCTGACGAAGACGAGGAGTACAAAGAACAGGTAAAAACCGATCGGCAAAGAATTCACCACAAAAAACGATGCGGTCATTACCGAAATGGCGTTTTCAGGTGCGCCAACTGAAGCAAGCGGTGCCGTTCGCCGTTTGTGGAGCCAACACACTGTTGGAGGTCCGTGGCAGGAAAGTGAGGGGCCGCCTTTACCCCTGGGGGGTCGTCGAGGTGGAGAACCCCGAGCACTGCGACTTCATCAAGCTGCGCACGATGCTGATCACGCACATGCAGGATCTGCAGGAGATCACGCAGCAGGTGCACTACGAGAACTACAGGTCTGAGAGGCTGGCCAAGGGGGCGCCGCCACCTAAAAGGAATACGTAAGTATTTTTTTTCTCATGACTTGGAATTTATTATTCGAGAATAATTCCGTCTTGTTTAATTGAACGATATGACACACAAAAATTATTAAATACTTACCGCCCATAGACCCACAGAACTAAGAGAAATCTACTGCTTTTCAATATGGATGACTTGTTCAAGGTCACAATTCTTTTTTCTCCCCTTAAAACCTAAAAAAGCATGACTTGTTTTCAGTGTTAGACGGAGGATGTAAAAAACTTCACATATTTACTAAATAGTAATCGTCGGTAACAAGCAATGTGCAGCGACCTGATTTTAAATGTTTTCTTCTGCCATTTCAATGCATAACTTTTACAGAGGTAAATTTTTAGCAATAAGCTTTTACCGAAAATTGTATTCCTTCAAATATAAAACTGCAAGTTCATGAACGGCTTGTATTAAAATTTTATTTCATATGGTAAATATTTTAGGATCATAGACGATAAGTCTAACATAGTCAACGAGAAGGACAGGATCTTGCAGGAGAAGGAGGCGGAACTGAAACGGATGCAGGAGATGATCGCGGCGATGCAGGCCAAAATGCAGCAGACGCAATAATACCAGAGTATTTTTTATTTACAAGTTTGTGTTACATATCTCACGATGCCTATATTATATCTTTATTTTTGCTCAGATTATGTACTTTAATGTCTGATAGATACTTTACGATTACGCGAGAAAGAGAGATTTATGTATTTTTTATAGATAAGCAGCGACTGTGACGCATTCAAAATGAGCTGACAGTTTCGAATATTTCATTTCTTGGTACATATTTTTATGTAAATTTGATTTCGTTTGTTGATTTGGCGTGAATTTTTGTGGAATTTTGAATGTAGTCGTAATTTAAAGGCGTCCACTCTGGATCTTTCCATTTAGATTTCGTATCATGTGGACGTCTTTATTCTTGTGGCAATTGCATTGAAAAAATGCTAGGAAGACAAATTTTATTATTGATTTGTGTTTTTAGACAGCCTCCCATTTTTTTTTACGTATGATGTATTTTATATAATAAAATATAAATATTTTACATGTGTCTTCTTTCCATCGTTTAAAATATCAAAAAAATCCTCATAATTTAAAGTTGTATTACCACCAATAATTTAGTTCAAACCGTCTCGTAATTTTTATGTTTTATAAATTTTTTTTTAAAGAAAATTGCTTTTTATTAAAGAAACAACTGTGTGAAATACCTATTTCAAGAAATATTTATGTGACTTCTAATGAGCAGAAACTTCAGTAACTTGTGTTTTTAAAATATCATCATAAAATTTATCTGCAATGTTTAAAGTTACCAATATACTATTGAATATTAATTTTTAATCTATACACTTTTTTAAATAAATTTACTCATTATTTATTAAAAAAAAAGATGCTTGTAAAATACTGATTTCAAAAAAGTTTTATGCGGCCTCTAGTGCAGGGCATGCGAACTTGTATAATAATCATGATTCCGTGGCGGCCTTTTCAATAGATGGCGCACATGTACTATTGTGTAGGGCTCTATGTGCATAGATAAATGAGTCTACCTAATTTACCGGCGTGCTGTCTGTTGTCAGTTCCATTATCTTTCAAAATTTCAAATGTGTTTGAGATTGTAGTGGAAAGATTATCGTGGCGTATATTTTATGATTAAATAGTTTTTCCTGATTTCTAAGTTTAGTTTTTATTGTGATTTTATGGACTAGTATAATACCTAGTCCTAGTGTGTTTTTCAGTTTATATTAAGGTAAGAAGTAGGTTAGTAACTAATGCACTTGGTTGTGACTACTACTTACATAATAATATTAATTGTACAGTTTTATTCCTATTTCAGTTTTTATGATGGTTAAATTAAGTTACTGCGCTGTTGCTGGATGCAGAGATATGGTGTCAACAAGGCACCGATTTACGTATCCTAATTACAATAATAAGGATTTATAAAAATGGGTACAGGCATGGTGGTAATGAAAAATTATTTTCTCTTGCACATGAGCAAGTATATAGGACTAGCAGGGTGTGTCATCACTTTAGACCTGAAGATGGATCCACAAATATGTACTTGAAGAAAGGCTCCTATCCCATGCTATTCTTACCGTCCTCTGCTTCTACCTCAAGTGCACGTTCAGGTAAATACATTGGTATACTTTAACATTTCTAATTTGGCTCGTGAGATGTGCAAAACAAGAAAAGAGAAGAAGCTGTGTGTTACGAATAAAGGAGTAACATAAACATACAGCGAAGGTCAGGCATATCTAACGACAAGTTATATTTGTTGTTTTACATAATTTATTAAAAATGCACTTGCATATTATATACCTATAAAATGTTCTTTTGTATTTTAGAGGAAGTACTGGGAACTGAAACTGTTCGTGAACTTTCTACACCAGAACCTCGACCAGAACTTTTGTGTACTACTCTCAGTAAGTGTTTTTGTTTAAATATAATAATTGCATATCTGCATATAGTGTGAATATTATGAAAAAAGTTGTTTATTAGCCTTTTTGTACAATTCGTGTAGTTATAACATATTTATTCAACATCGCGAAGCGATAGGCTGTCTATCAGCATTTAATTCTGCCACGATAACATTCGAAAGAACTAAAGCTGTCGACTTGAAATTTCGTACAGGAGTGGAGACCCATAAATACTCCATTGGGATTGTTTTTAAGCAAAATCAGTTTAATAGAAAAGAGGATGAAAAATAAATTACGATTGTCTCGGAAATAGCCTTGTAATATATAATTTGTAGCGTTCCAAAATATGCTGCTTCCAATTCTAGTATTATTTTCACCCTAAAAATAAGGTAGTGAGTGGAAAGAATATGTAAAGTGGGAACGGGTAGTAAAAATGTTTTTTTTAATGTATTTTCAAATTTCAATAATAAAGAATTATTTTCCAAATTTTATTTGAAACGTGATGTGGAATTACTGTTCCCATTGGCAGCGGTTTTTTCTATTTAATAAAATAGGTTTAATACTTAGATAACATGATTTTTTACAGAACATTCACTTCCTTCCACTTCCACTTCATTATTGGCTGATGTTGGTGTATTTAGAGAAGTACAACTAACCCCTAAGGCTAGAAAACTGTACAGAAGGGCCACAGGCCTGTTAAAGACAATGAGAACACTAAAAAGTCATAGAGCAAAACATCCTAGGAAACGGCTATATGAACAATTTACAAAGGATGAATTTCTAGAACACGTAACTACTCCATTGCCAAACTCAGTTGCAACTTTTATACAGTGTCAAATAACCCAGAGTACTAGAAGGCGCCACGGACGAAGATATTCTATAGATCAAAAAGTTCTGGAATTGGTTTTACCAAAGCAGAGTGGCAGAGCATATAAAACTATACAAAAATTGTTTTATCTTCCATCCAGAAAAACGTTATCAACATTATTACATCATATTCCTATTGGTGCTGGTATTAACGATCCGATATTTGACAACTTGAAGGCAATTTCAGCCTCGACTTACTTTTTTCTACATGTTAATTTGTAATTCTACTTATATGATCACCTAAATAAACTCATATTACTTTATTAATTGGACTTCATGATTTTTTTTTATATGTGTAAATATAAATTGGTGACTTCTTTTTGTAGGTGCTTTGTTTATTTACTGATAATTGATTAATATATATTGTTTTGATTTTTAAACTTTAAAATACAATAATTATTTAGTGTTAACATCTAGGAAAACAAGTTTACAGATGATTGGACCAGAATAAAATTACTTTTATTTTACAGTTTTCTTGCCAATGTTTCGGTGACTGTTTCAAATCTATTTAAGAGCTAAAATACATAGGTAGTGGAAATATGTGTATATAAATATTTCTACTATGTATTGTAGCCCTGAAAAAGGTGACAAATACTCACTAAAACATTGACAGTAAAAACTGTGAACTAAAGAGTTATTTTATTCTGATCCAAGCTGTGAACTTGTTTTCCAACTGAAAAAATTCATAAAAATATAAATTATTTATACACATATCTCCCCCAATAACTTATTGTGACCCCTATCTCCCCTATGTCTCAAACTCGGGCGGACTTCTCGTCAGAGGGCGCCCCATATGGCATCAAGTGGTGTAATGGGAGTTGCCTATCTATCTCTTCTATTATCTATGCTCTAGTGAATAGGCAACGCAATAACTACAACTGTTTAAGTATTTACCACAGATCACAGAAACAATGTATTTACTCACTAGATGGCGCATCTTTAAATTTTTTGTGTTGTAATAGGTCCTATTCTTTTATTAATTTTTTGGATTTGAAGGAATTTATACAGCCAATCAAAGATAAGAATTTTTAAACAGGCCAATAATAATGCACGAATAGCATTCGTGGCATCTCTAAATTCTAACCATAGAAACTTGAATTAATTTTTCTATGATTCTAATCAAAGATAATAGAACACGGTCATAATTTGTGGAATTTTAAAAAAATTGTGTATTGTGTGTGTATGTGTGTGTATTTTCTTGTGACTGAACATGCAAATTGTGCCTGAAACAAGTTAGTTAGGATGCCACTATAGAAAAGGTAAGAATTCAAAACATTTTCTATTATAACCTATATTAAATTTAAAAACAAACATTAACATTTGGAATGTAATAAAATATCTTAAAATAGATATCACAATAATATACAGGCTGTCTACTATAAGAGGGCCACTCTTATGGATCTCGTTTATTATACGACGTACGTCAAAAATCTTTGTGTTTTTTTGTTACATATTTTGAGGCATTTATGCTCGTTAAAACAAATTTGAGATCCATGGCCATAGCCAACTTTGTGAGTAATCATAAAAAAACTGGAAAAGTACCGAAAGTTTAGGATCATCTAACTTTTTTTTTTTTTGAGAGATGGAGAAAACATCTTTTCAACAGATTGTGGCTACAAAAATTGCTTGTTTTTTCCTCTTTAATGCGATATACTACATGTTGCCCATATCTTTTATATTATATTTTTACAATTTTGATAAAAAAAAATATACACATTTTCGTGTTAACGTAGAAATTGTTGTACTTCTTTTAAGTAAAATATAGATTTTCTTTTCACATTATTATAATATTGGTTTTTTACTTTGGAGAAAACTGAACCTTCAGTATTATTCTTGCACAGACAAAGTAGTTTACACTAAATGTAGCACGCTGTGAAAACAATGTGTTATCCCAGTAAGATCATTATTTAACAAATTGATTATTGTTATAGTTTATACATAACTGTTGGTTTGAAAATTGTTAAAGTTAACTGTGATTTGAAAAACTATAATTTTGAATAATAATGATATTTTCACATATTGAGAAGTGTAATATGTTTGTATTGTACTATCAGTGCAATTCTATTCACACACTTGCGGAATGTAGACCTTCGCTAATAAAATTAGCTGTTGTTAATAAAATAGGTAATGTTAGCATATTTTTAAATTATGTAAATAGGAAAACTGAGCCAAACAGTGAGAGAATTAAATGAACTACAATTTAAAGAAGGATAGTGCAAGAAGGATATTAAAAAAAAAGGTTTCAAATATTATAAGGTGAAAAAAATACATCTCTTTGCCTGCTTTGATAACAGTTTCTTTTGTCCGCGTAGAGGGCGCAGCAAATTACATACGATACTTCAAAAATTTGTTTACACCAAATTTTATTAAAATAAGTTTTCTCCATCTCCGGGTTTTTTTATTATTACTTATAAAGTTGTCCATGGATCTCAAAATTGTTTTTACAACCATCCAGGCCTTAAAAAATGCAACAAAAAACACAGAGATTTTTGACATGCATCGTGTATTAAGTGAGATACATAGGAGTGGCCTTCTTATAGTAGACAGCCTGTATACTTATATAACTAAAACATTGCTATACAACATCAACGAATACAAATTTAACAGGTATGTAGTAAATAAAACAATGATTAATAATACGTAGGTACATCAACGCCTGTACCTATTTTTTTAACTGCCTAAACTTGTTGATTTAACAATAAAGGGCAAAGATAATGATATATTCTTTAATATATATATAACAGAAATATATGTAAATATATTAATTGAGTCTGTAACTACTTATAAGAAACTGCAATTTAACTATAACCAACATATGGGTATAACAAAAAAATAATATACAGTTGTATGCAGAAATAGTTCCTAAATGATCCACATTTTATTCTGCTAACTACTGTACAAATCAGAAGGTACTTAAATCTTTATTTAGACTTAGCCCAATGATACAGCCCGATATGTTTGCTCAATACATTCAACTTAAAGTTAAACTTAAATTTAACTTCATTTCTGAGTATTTCGAATTTAAGTCCCCGTAACACTATTTTTCGTAAAAAATTTTGACATGTACAACTAGAATTTAACAAGTCTGTAATATATTTAAGTTAAACTATTCAAATAATTTTATTTTAGTTACATTGAGTGATGCTACATCTAGTTTATATCACAGTTGTTGGAAAAATGTTGAGCTAAATCTAGATAAAAACTTGGAATATAGTATACAAAAGAATGGGAATGACTGGTAGGGGTGATATGTTGGTTGCTTTCCCGCAAAGTTTAATCTCACTTTCCTGTAATAAAAAGTGTATTTGATCCACATTTTTTTATATAATTCCTTGATATACTTACATTACTGTTGCTCTTGATGCAACTCATGTAGAGCCTTCGAGGGAAATCGTTATTCAGAGCCCGGTAGCAGGCCAATGACATGTTATAGTCGACTTGTAGGGGTTCGGGCAATGAGACCCTCATATTCTCGTTCTCTTTGCACAGGTTGTTGATAACCAGGAGGATCATGTTGCTGCCTGAGACTCTTTGGACCATATATGGCCTGAAAAATCATCATTTTATATGTTTTGAAAGCTGTGGCTGTGGTTACATATACAGAGTGAGACAAATTTAACAACGGACACTTGCACAATTTAAAAAAATTGCTATTTTTTGCTTTCTCAGCTAATGGAAATTTATAAGTAATGGAAGTAATATTTGTTGTTTAATGCAAAATGAAAAAAATTGAAAAATCTATATAACCTACCTAGTGCAATCCGCCATGGTCTTATTGTACCCACTGTTTGAAATATTTCTCTCAGTGTAGTGAACTAAAGAGTACAGCCATATTATGTGATCGCAAGGCTCGGGCTTGGTCTTTGGAATGACGTATCTGCAAAACAAAACATTTTTATCGCTATCTATCTTAAAATATTTCTATCTGTTTCAACATTCCTTCAGGTGTTCCACAGAGATCTATTTCGGGTCCCCACGCTTCGTTCAACTCGTATAACTTTACCTCTGTATAAAATCCTTTTCCCCGTAAGGCATATCGGCAGACTCGTCATCGTGTATCATATGGTCGTTTTCATATTGGTGGTCTTCGTCGTACATGTGGTCTCTACCGTGATGGTCGGGGTACATTCCAGGGTCAGAGGAAAAGGACTCGAAGTGGTTCCCCAGCACCGATTGAGCAAAAAAGAGCATAGTACCCGCGACCCAGTTGAGGATACTGGAGAGATGAATGATAGGCTAAAAAAACATAAAGAAAATGTTAGGCAGATGAAAGCTCTTAATATTTTAAATGCAGATTTAAAGTGGATGTCAATTCGACTTTAATAAATTAAATAAAATGGTCCACAAGTTATAAAATACACGTTATGAAAAGTTAATGCTGGTGATATTTGATTAAGATTGTCAATATTGTTCTATAAATTTAAATACATACATAAATTCTATAATTCCTTTAGTTAGTGTTTGAAACTTCTTAAATATTTCTAATATTGCCAGAATATTGCGTTATTTAAGGTCATGACAAAGAAGACATTTTTTTTGGCATTTATGTCCAAAGTACATAAGGTCGAAAATCGATCTAGTAAAAATTTTGGGAAATTCTTGGCGAGAATGTGCACTATGGGCCTATTATTTGGCGTATGTGACGTCACTACTAAAAAGATCTATTTTCTATATCGTGAATGTATCTGCGATTAAGATATATATACACATAAGATTCATCTTCTATTAGCAAACTTGAGTTCGTATAAATAAATTATTCTTGTTTTACACCTGCACTTAAAATATTTTTCAAAATATATTCTAAGAACACTTTTAAAATACGCTATAGAAGCATCTCTATAAACATCTCAAATAAGTATGTAGTTACTTTCGTCTGTACTGTTCAATATACCTACCTAATGTTTAAAATGACGATTTCTACCATTCTAATGTTTGTCCGCAGAAGGTGTATCATTGGAAGTGTGACTTTGTGTAACAAAAAAAATGATCAAAGCCAAAGCAGAAAAACGCAAGCAAATCAAGGTAAGTGGCTAATATCTAATAACAAACATTGCCTGCACACAACCAAAAGTGAAAAATATATATAATAAACGGACGAGACAACATAAGGACAAACTAATAGACGACTAAAACTAAAATTAACATTATCACGGATGCCTCCCAAGATATTTTACTCTGTCCGCATGCCAGTATGTCAGACTCCTAAAAAAAAAAAACAAGAGGGATCAAATGTGGAGAATAGTGAGAGTGCAGTGCAAAATTGCATGTCCATATCGTACTAAGTAATGGACACTAGTAAATTGCACCGCCGTACTTTAATTAGGTGGAATTAGCAGTGTCCCGCCTTTCTGTTTTACATACTCAAGAGATATTTCTTATTAACAGGGCGATTTATTGAAAATCAACAGTTTTTTAGAGGTAGATTAGACTACCATGTATAGAGCTACGAGTCATATCTGTAAGTACGAATGTGTTAGACCAGACTGTGGTGTGATGCAAAAGTGTGACAATGATCGCTTTTGCTCCACAAGCATATCGAGACACAATAATTACATAAATTTTAAAAATATGGTTTGAAATAGAAATAAGTCAACTTGTATAATCAAAGTAACCTTTTCTATGAAACTTTGACATTTCTTTTTGCAATTTTGGGTAATTTTGAGATGGGTATCAAGACGTATTTTAGATATGGTCTTGGCTAAATCGAGTTTCCTCGTGCTTAAAACAGAAAAGAGGTTTGGGGGAAAGAGCGATACCAACGTTCATCTCCTCTTTGTTAAAGCAATCCCCGAAGCATTTTCTGTACAAGTTTTGTTCGGCATTCAGACATTCCCAGCTAGTGTGGTACTCTATCTTGGTGTACTCCGGGTACCTCAAAATATAGACGGAATCGTTGACGGGGGGACTGAGAGAATCGTCAATGGCTACGAAGAGCAAGTTTGCGGAAAAGTTTACTTTTTCGTTTCTCACCAAACGCGTCGAGATGTAGCTAAAAATCAAAGGATTTTTAACCGTAAAAGTGCTTTTTGTTCCAAACGTAAAATATTTAATTTTTCATAATTTGTTTAAAATTTTTGGGAGGATTCTTAACTAATTTTTTTAATAGAGTCATTTCCATAAACAATTTTCTGTATCCTGTTGTACAGGAATTACAAAAAAGTAGGTATTAAAAAAAATTATGAGATTTTCCATTTTGCTTGACACATAGTGTCAAAAAGTTGAAATTTTGCAGAATTTTACCTTATGCTGACATGTCTACATGTCTACAAAAAGTTACAGTATTTCATAAATGAAATCCTAAGTGAAAATTTTGCAAAAGCGAAACAATAATAAAGGAATTTCTGATCTAAAAAATAATATCCTTCAACGTTTTTATTTTCTCTAATCTAATATAGCTAGATTAATGAGAATTATTTTTGTTTACCTAATCAATATTTGACATTTTTACATTTCTTTCTTTTTAACAGATGTATAAGTATTCTATTATTAGCTGATGATAATTACGTTATTTAACAACAATATATTAAGTACTTATATATTTTTGTACTGATTATATTTAAACATATAATTATTAGTATTTATTATGAATATTTATTACTAGCATTTTGCTAGATATTGCTAGCGTAATTCAGTGTAATTTTTTTCTCTAGAATTGAACACTATTCAACTTGGAAACTAGACTGCTTAGGATAGGATTTTTTTCTTTGAATTAACTGAGTAATCATCTCTTTATCATCGGAACGTAGTTAAGGACCACCCTGTAGAATAAAGTCAACAAATAGCGTAACTACTTTTTTGTCTATCTTTTTTACTGGAATTCCACAAAATTATTTATAAAGTATTTAACATGGGAAACGACTCCATTGCAATAAAATTGAATATTCACTACTCTTTCTAATAGCTACCAAGCTTGGGAAAAATGTCGCTGAAATACACAACTCAAGAATTGGTTTTTCAAAGCAAAGGTATACCCAGCATTAAGTTTCTTGGTGATCCCTTGGTCTTTCAAGAAAAAGAACACAATTTCATTGCATCTACACACAACTAGACATTTTGGCGCACGCTTGAGCAATGTCTATTTTATTTATACAACTTTCCACATCACAGCCAAGCTCCTGGTATGCTGGTTTTTCTAGATTATTAATAAAGAAAATAAAACTAATAAGTTATGTTACGTTCTTTTGTTGTAAAAATGTTCGAAAATTACCTAAATCGTGAAAATGATTCTGGCATTTTGTCACATAAGAAACGCGCAGAAATGCTAGGCGCTAGTTGCAATTCCGCCAAACTGCACAATGACGTTTTTACTCTATAGTACGATCGTATTCGATGCAAAGTAATAAATCATTGCCTATCAAGGGAATCAGTGCAACACATTTTATAGGGGGTTTTGGAAATTGAATAATTTCTTTATGCATTATGGATTAATAATATATATTTATGAAGGACAAAATGAAAAACAAAGGCATCTCCTTCGCACATTGGGCGGCAGGACAACAATACATTTATTACTCCCTTCATTATCCCTCATATGACTTGTGTCTTGTGTTTTTTGCGGCGGCGCGCGTGCCGGCCTGGCGTGGTCAGTTTCGTTTCGGTTGTATTGGTGCTGCGTGTTTCTCGCTCGCGATATTTGTGAGGTTACAACTGTTATAAGTGCAATTATATTTCTTTCGGGCTATATGTGTGTTTCGCGCTATTATTTGAGAATTTGTGAGTGAAATCATATTTCTTGTGCTCCGTAACAAAAGTGTTTTTAGTGTTTTATTTGTGTGCTGTGTGTGTGTTTCGGGCTATTGTTTGTGAATCGTGAATGCTATTATAATTTCTGTGCTAGTGAAGTGAAGTTTTTTGTATTATT